GTCCTAGGAATTCAATGGCAGGGTAGGGTAAGCAACTTGTAAGTTCAGCATAGGCTGTATTGGAAATCCATTGTAGCTGCGTTCACGCGGAGGAGTTTTTCTCCTACGCTTGGGTTAGGATTGCGGATGATGGACCGAGGCGGATGTTGGGGTGGCCGCCAGAGATCGTGAGAAGAAGACCTCGAGCCAGAAGGGGGGTGGGAGACCGTCGGTTGCGGACGTCACAACTGCAAGCTTTTCAATTTGAGCTTTAGGAAAGAATGTGAGGGCAGCGGGTTTAAATTATTCCTGAATCGGCTAATTACACCACTGGCAGTACTGATGTGCTCTGTTTGAGAATTTAAATTGTGCATTTATCCACGAGTCTCACTGGGCTTCGAGACTAATTCCTTTTAGAGCATTTCGCCAAGTGGGAGCTCATCAGAGTACCTAGAAGAAAATTAAAAACCCACAAGTGCAATGGGAGAATTCTCAAGCACAATGCAGATTGGTCATACGTCCGATTACTTTCCTTATAAATACATTTTTAAAAGACAATTTGCTTTGTCTTTTTATTTTATTCGAACTCTAGTCCTAAAAAAATAAATCTTCAAGTTTTATGTGATCACTTGCAATAAAATCAGTGCAGTTATTTTCACTGCAAGATGAAGGCCCAACCCAAGCGTTGCATCTCAGTTCTGCGATGCAGCGGTCCATTTATCACACATGCATGAGCTTATTTTATTGGCTCTGTCTCCACGGGAGGGGACATCCTCTCTGGCACGTTTCCTCACTTTGACTGCCACTCCACCATTAGCCTCGACCACCGGTCATCGTTCCTTCTCGCAACGCTCAAGACAGCCTTGGTCCTCAGTACCTGCAGTCCCGTCTGGCCACGCACCTTGTGCTCCTCGGGCCAGGCCCTGCGAGCTCAACGTAGAATGTTTCATTCCACGCTGGGTGGTAGTAGGTAGGGCCTTCTTGAGTGTGGAGCCTAAGATGTGGAAATCTCCCCCGCCGGACCTCAGATTGGTCTCCGAGGACCAACTAGTTCAAGAAACTCTGGAAGACCCACGTTTTCCTTTAACCTTTTCCTTGAGTATGTCAGTATGTCCTCTCGTTTTGATATTTTATGTGTCTTGATTTAATAGGCAGGGACTACCTTCGTTTAATTCATACTGTAAAGTATTGTGATTCCCTCTTTGGTGGGGGTGAGTTTTTACAACAAAAAAAAATTTGAATTAATTGAATGAATGAATGTATCCTGCCCAAGCCAACTTGGTCCTAATTAACCCTTTTCCATTCCGAGACATCTGCAAGTTGCAGGGTGGGTATCCCATTCAACACTGAATCTCGGAACGCACGAGCGGTTCAGCGTTAATTTTATTTCAAGAGGTGTATAGCGCCGTTGTATTTAATGACATTGTGCCGACCGCAGACATATGTAGTGAAGCAACCGCACTCTGATATCTCTGCACCACCTCATGTTCTCCGAAAATCAACGTGCCTTTCTTTCTGTCTCTCAATGTAATTCCCAGCACACCGTCCTCTGTCGCCATGCTCCTTTGCACACTCTTTCATGAGTGCATTGTACTCGTTGCTATGAATAGGATGTATCCCTTCATGTCACTATGCACGTAATTATTGTACAGCGTTGTGAGATGCAGTTGCACGATTGCCGCGAAATAAAACTGAAATCATTATTGTTAGGACTAATGATGGCGTCGGCGCAATGGCAAGACGTTGCACCCGAATGTAGCCGTGTTCGCAGATGAGAAGAGAACATCGCGGGGTAGAACACAGAGCGTTGTATATCCCGCGCAGGGAAGTGTAAACACAGCAGGCTAAAGAAGCGCATTTCGTAAATAGTTTATATAACAAAAAATTGTAAGCCAGAGAAATTAAGGAAATGAAATGCCCACGCAGTCTAAACATCGATGGCTTTGTTTGTAAAAGCCAGTGTGTGCAACGGCTGCACTCGCGTAAACCTGGGTTGGCTCCGAATGTCATAAATGCGCTTTGTAGTCCTCTATTAAAGTGAAATTCCCAAACGGTCATTCCTTCTCTCTTTAACCGAAACGGAATTGGCTTAATGCTCGCTGAAGCATATTGCTCCGGAGGGATTGTGAAATTGACTTGATGCTGCCCTGCAAAACCGTTTTAATATCCCCTCTGAGCGGAACGCCCAGTGGCACACACACAGCCGTTTCCTTGACAAATGTAAAGCTCCGATCTTTTTAATATATATTTAGAATACCACACGGTACAGTTTGGATTAATAGATAATCTAAATGCGACCCTCGTCTCAAGATGCAGTATAGTAGAACCCCTCTTAACGACGGTAATTGGTTCCACGAAACCGGTCGTTAAGTGATTTGGTCATTAAGCGAGTATAGGAAATACACGTTAGAGGGTTCATTCGTTCCGATAGCAGCGAAAGTCACCCTTTTTCACCCAAACGCACTTTATAATCTTTCAACAACAGATATGAATACATAAAGATACAAACAACATTATAAATATAATATTAAAATAAATATGGTTAATCAATGCAGGAGAATGGTCGTTAAACGATTAGTCATTAACAACAGGGGTTGTCGTTCAGAGAGGTTCTACTCTACACTACACTATACACTACTATACACTAAACTACTATACACTACACTTTTCACTACACTATACACTACACTAATCTACACAACTATACGCTACACTACTATACGCTACACTACTATACACTACACTATACACTACTATACACTACTATACACTACACTACTATACACTACACTACTATACACGACTATACAGTATGTTACTATACACTACGCTACTATACACTACACCAGGGGTCGGCAACCTACGGCTCCGGAGCCGCATGCGGCTCTTTACGGGCTGCTTCTTGACGATATGTACGTATGTACAGTATATGTACATAGATGCATTGCGGCTCTTGAAATACTGAATTTTGTACCGAATTGGAAAGAAATGGCTCTTCTTGTTATTTTGGTTGCCGACCCCTGCACTACACTATACACTACATATTTGGCTCTATGGAGGCCCGCCGTTCAGCGATTAGTCGTTAAGAGGGGTTCTATTGTATAGAACAAATGCATTAGACTGGAGCAGTACAATGAGCTACGAGCGGGGCCTCTGGGGAGCTCCTCCACAGGGTTTTTTGGCCGACCCGCCCACGCTCGCGAGACATCTTGAAAGAGATGTGAATCCCCACACTTTCCCCCACCAAATGCGACCTGTTGATTGACTGCGTGGTGCACCCCGTTTATCATGCTGGGTGGACAGAGGTGGTACGGGGGGGGGGGGGATTTGAGAAATTTGCCCCATTGTTTTAACTGGAGAGCAAGCTGTATATCCTGTATAATGTGCCCACACACACACACACGATACTATTTATTTAATCATTTAAAAGGTTGGTCTTGCGTCGAGAAGAGGAAGGTCTGGAACCTGGATTGAACTGGGGGAAGGGGTCGACAATTCTGATGGTCACAGGGAGGGAGTTGTGGACTGTGTGTGAGGGTTATGGAGCGCCAAGGTTGGCGAGATGTTAACTACCTCGCCTGGTATGCAGGAGGTCGTGGGTTCGATCCCGTACCTGACGCCTGCTGCTGTACATTTGGAGTTTGCACGTTCTCCCCGTGGTCGCGTGGAATTTTTCCCCTCCACATTTCGCATCAACGTGCGTTCAGAGTGTTTGGCTGCTATAAATTTCCACGGAATTAGCTACTTTGGTGAGCTGTCATTTGTGACCAGGTCGCTTTGGAAAAATATCTGTAAAGCTCAGTGGGTCTTACCTAGTAAAATAAAAAATAGTTTAGCATAAACAAATTGTAGTTTAAGGCCCAAAACATCAAGCGGCCAGCAATAAACAGCACTCTTGAAGGTGTAATAGAGACGAGTTAATGTGTTCCTGGAACTAAGGAAAGCTATTATAAGAGCATGGGAAAATAGACGATTGGAGGGAATTACAAACGGAGCAGTGCGAGGGAAGAAGCAGAGAGAGAAGTGTCGGGGCCTGCCGTGTGGTGGCTGGGTGACTGAGTGGGTGAGTGGGTGGGTGAGTGAGTGAGTGGGTGAGTGAGTGGGTGAGTGAGTTGTAATGACCTGCAAGTGTAGTGGTTGAACACGGTGCGGATACGACTAAAGGGTCGGTGCCTTTGTACACCGAGTGCTCAATATGGGACGGGGAATCGTTGAGTGAAGTACATGGACACAGTCACCACGGTGGTAGCCATAGAAGAGTTATAAGGAGGCGGCTGACCGATGGTGAGTGAGTGACCGGAGTGAGTCAGGTGAGGGCCGGTCATCTGTGAAAAAAAGAGTTTCATATTTCTCATCGGATTTCTCCAGTCTAAATTAAGATTCTGATTCTGTCAACGAACCCGACGTGAGGAGCGGTAGGTGTAGCGGTTAGCGCTACGCTGCGCTATGAACCCGGCGACTCGGGTTCGTTTCCCGCTCACGACCAACACCAGTGACGATTATTTGAACCAGGCTTGGGCCTCTCCTAGGTCGACTCGGCCTCAAATGAGTACCTGGTGCGGTGTGTAAACATCGTCACTAGGGAGACAAAGGCGGTCGGACGTGGTGCTGGCCACCCACCCCCTCGTGTACCGTTCCGGCCTAAATAGGTGCTCGCTAACAGCACTTGCCCCTACAGTCTATTAAGGCTATATGGGGGAACTTTGTCTTTGTGGGAGTGATAGTGTAGCTTTTAGCATGCTGCGTTACGAACCCGGCGACCCGAGTTCAATTCCCATTCATGGCCAACACCGGTGAGGATTATTGAACCGGTCCTGGGCCGCCTCTGGGTTGACTCAGCCTCACATGAGTACCTGGTGCGGTGTGCAAACATCCCTACTTTGGAGACAAAGGCGGCCGGGCGTGGTGCTGACCACCCACCCCCTCCTGTGCCGTGCCGGCCTTCATAGGTGCTCGTTAACAGCACTTGCCCCAAAAGTATGTTAAGCCTATGCGGGTGATCTTTATCTTTGTGCGCGCAGGACCACGGCATCCCGACGGACATGGGCTACGCTGTGGCGCCGCACCACTCGGGCGTCTACCCCGTGCACACGCAGCTGTACGAGGCGTGGAAGAGCGTGTGGAACATCCGCGTGACGAGCACAGAGGAGTACCCGCACCTCAAGCCCGCGCGCTTCCGCCGTGGGTTCATCCACCGCGGGATCAAGGTGAGCGAGCGGGCGGGCGGGCGCCGGCTAGCGACCACCGTGCCGTGAATCCGGCAGCGACCTTGGGCTCGATTACCCGGCGACGGACGACGTTGGTGGCGGGCGATAGCGCGGTGGGCCGTTGGATTTAAGGCCGGGAAGAAGCCGACCAGTGAGCTATTGGGGGCGGATCTTTTTTCACAGGTTTTCCAGCCCCAAGCTCGGATTGGCGGCGGTGTACAATGACGGAGGAAGTTTAAATTGGTAGATAAATGAAGCTGTCTGTCGCACGTGCAACTTGAACGAAACAACAGAGTGATAGAGAAGAGTAAAAAACGAAACGAACTCGCAGGAATAGTAAACATTATACTTGCAAATTCGCTGTTGTCAAATCAGAGTTGCAAATGTGGCTGTAGTTAACATCCAGCGTGACTTGTCGAGCATTCGTTGATGGTCAAAACTCCTCGAATCGAGAAACGGGGACACAAGGGGATTCCAAACGGTGTGGGTACCGCAACATCAACCGGCCTTGCCCCCTCCTCCCGCCCCCAGCCCTTCAACAACCTGCACTGATCAGCTTGGTGAAGTATGGTTAAACGACCCCTGGGTGCGTAGTGGTTAGCGCACGATGCTACGGACCCGGTGGCCTGACTTTGATCCTCAGCTGCAGCTGCTGTATTTACAATTGGACTTCTTTGCTCCGGTTAACGCTTTGATCGCCGTGTCGGGCTTTCAAGAGGGCGAGTCCCTGATGGCAACAACGCTTTTCACTGGAGCTACGGGCGTTTTGAGCTCTTGCCTCCATTGCTGGTGCGGGATGAGCGGAAAGAATTGGAACCGTTGCATTAAAAATTACTTGGAAGGATACACGGTGCAGCTATTCCCTCGTTTATTCACGCACTCGCTATCCGCGATGTTGGCTCTCCGCGAATCGCATCTGGAACTCTGCTGCGTCTATGTAGGAGGAGTCACGACATCATCATCATCGCCATCATCATCGCCATCATCGCCATCATCATCGCCGTCATCATCGCCATCATCACCGCCATCATCACCGCTGTCATCACCATTGTCATCATCATCGCCATCATCATCGCCGTCATCACCATTGTCATCATCATCGCCATCATCATCGCCATCATCACCATTGTTATCATCATCGCCATCATCATCGCCATCATCACCGCTGTCATCACCATTGTCATCATCATCGCCATCATCATCGCTGTCATCACCGTTGTCATCATCATCGCCATCATCACCGCCATCACCATCATCGCCATCATCACCGCCATCATCACTGCCGTCATCACCGCCGTCATCATCGTTACTATATTCTTCTATTGCGCAGCATTATTATAATTTACAGTGAGTTAAGTTACAAACTATTACTTAATATTTGAATACAAAATTTTCTTTAATTTATGTTTATTATAACCAATTTGTATATTTTTACGTTATGAGTATTTTCATGTATTTAATAGCTTATTTAGGTCATAAAAAATATATAGATTTTCGTAGGCCAATATCATCATCCGCGAAATTTGCTATTCGCATCTTCAGAACGTATCCCTCGCGAATGATGAGCGTTATACGGCATTAATATTCAAATAAATCTTCCTCTATGACTACAGAATGAGAAACTGGGTCAAAGTGTTGAGGATCATATTTGTAAAACCCATATACTTTTAGCTGTTCAACACGATATTAGTCATGTGTTTCTGTGTATACCGAGTGCCAGCACAGCTAAAACTATTTAATTTCCTTTTTAAATCGAAGCATATGTTAACTAAAAGCCTTATCTAGTCCAGTATTTGTGCGTGTCTATTTATGTGTGCGTGTCTGTGTATGCGTGTCTCTTTCTCTGTGTGTGCATGTTTGTGTGCGTGTCTTTGTGTCTCTCCCTCTCTTCATGTGTGCACGGGTCTCTCGGTCTTTGTGTGTGGGTGTGTGCTTGAGTGTGTGTGTGTATACAAGTGTGGGGAGCGGTAGTGTCGTGGTTTGCGCGACCCGGGTTCGATTCCCGCTCACGGCGAACACCAGTGACGATTATCTTAATCGGTCCGAGGCATCCCCAAGGTCGATTCAGCTTCAAATGAGTACCTGGTGCGATGTTGAAACATCGCCACTGGGGAGACAAAGGAGCACCGGCCTTCAAAGGGGCTCGCTAACAACACTTGCCCCAACAGTCTGTTCAGGCTATTCGAGGGAATATTTGTCTTTTTGTGTATACAAGTAAGAGCTGCCACAAAGTGGTCTGCGTACTGCGCTACGAACCTGGGTTCCAATTTCTAGCTCCTGCTACAATCGGGAGCAAGTGATGCCTGAACTGGTCCTGGGCGTCACCTAGCTTAGTTCAGCCTTAAATCAGTGCCTGGTGTGGTATTGTCAACATCTGCATCGTCGTTGTGGTCTGGAGAGGGGTCCTGGCCACAGCTGCTGGCCATGAAGTGGTGCTCACTAACAGCACTTGTTCCAACAACCGATACAACTACACGAGGATGTTTGCCATTGTATCTTTACGATTGTGGGGAGCGTGAGTGGTAGTGTAGCGGTGAGCATGCGAGTGGAATGGAGCACGGCGTGTTTAGCGTGCGTGTGTGTGTGTGTGCCGCATTCGTTAACAAAATGACCGGGGGAAAATGTGGCTCGGTGAAATCCCCAATCTGGCAACACTCTCAAGCACAGGGTATAATAGTTTGTATGTGCTAGCTTTCTGTTTCCTTAGTTATATTTAATGAGAATCAAGTTAACAACAAAAAGTGAAAGTCAAGCAACCAAGCCGCGTAAGTGAGCATTTAGGTGGCGGACATTCCACAGTCATACGGCTGAGTCTCGTGTTACCCAATAGGATAACCACAGGGAGCGCTCCGCAAAGTGGTACTTACATTATCTTATAATGTTTTCATGAAATTCCACGGACAATATGCGAATGGTGCCCTCTCTCAGTAGGGCTTAGTTTGAATTTTAATTCAAGCAGGGACACACACTGCTTGGGTGGCCTTCTGCAACAACGAGTGAGACGTATGTGTATGTACGTACGTACGTATGTTGAACTGATTTTCGCACCGTTCTTAGCCGACCGTGCTAATCGGAGGTGCGAGACGCTTCGAGTTTGGCGCGGGGATCGTCGTCGCTATCATAGCCAAAGTCGGCCGAAGCAGGAACAGGGACCCATCGAGAGGAGGAGGGAATGGGCTGGACGGTTAAACATCCAAATCCGTTTACAATTCGACCCGAGGACTTGCACCTCTGCAGATGGTGGGCTGCAGGATGCACGTGGGAATTGGGATCCACAAGGTTGGAAGGGATTTGTGATGAAGGTGAATATTGAGAGTTATGCAAGTCATGTGTGTCTGTGTGTGGTGTGGGGAGCGGGAGTGCAGTGCACAGGGCCAACATATTATCTGGACTGGTCGACTCAGCCTCAAATGAGTTCCTGGTGTGGTGTGTAGTAAACATCACCACCCACGCCCTCATTTGCCTTGCTGGCCTTCATAGGTGCTCGCTAACAGCACTATCAAGGCTATTGGTGGCTTAGTTTTGTCTGGAAACCTTTGTATTTTTATTTGTGGGGACCGGTAGTTGTGCGGCTAGCTCAATGCACAATGAACCCAGCTGCCCAAGTTCAATTCCCGGCCATGGCTAAGATCAGTGGCGAATATTGAGCCCCCACCCCCCACTAGGTTAGCTCAGCCTGAAATGAGTAGCTGATGTGGGCGTGGTGCTGGCCACACACTGCCCTCTCGTGTGCAGTGCCAGCCTTCGAACGTGCCCGTTAACCTCATTTGCCCCGATAGTCTGTGTAGGCTTTACGGGGAATCTTTGTCTTTGCATGTACTTTAAGTATCTGTGTTATGAATAGGTTTGTTTTGATCAGTTTTTTAATTGTGTGTAATATTTTAAAATCTGGAATATTCCCTGGTGACTTCACAACCAAAGCGTATGCAGTGGTGCGTACTCTTCCAAATGATGCCACGGGGTTTATTTGTTTTTAACGCTCTCTTTGTCGTTGGTGGTTCTGTTTCGTCCGGCAATACTGAATTTACCAAATGGCCAGCGGAGAGGGAATTTCGAATATTTCACTGCCACCATCACAGCAACCTCCACCCACCCACAGCCGTGTAAATCACGAGGATCGACCATGTCAGCCTTCCTCTAGTAAAGGCTCTGCCTGCCGCTGCCTTTAACAGAGAAATGTAATTTCAACATTGCGTTTCGCTTGTCATATCTGGCTCGGCTCAGCTCTTGAATATTTAAGCGATGCTCTTAGCTCGTCTCCAGCCACGGCAGCCTTTTAATCGCCGACCATCGTAGCGCACTCTGGCCAGTCTTCGCCACGGCGCCGCTGTGGCGAGATGTGAACTGCCTCGCCTGGTATACAGGAGGTCGTCGGTTTGATCCCAACCCTGACTCAGATGGCTGCCGTATATTTCAAGTCTACATTTCCCTATCCTCGCGGTCGCATAGCTTTTTCTCTGGGACCTCCGGTTTTTACCTCCACACTTAGAGATGTGCGTTTAGAGTATTTGGCTGCTATACATTTCCACGTGATGAGCCACTTAGTTGAGCTATCATTTGTGGCCAGGTCGCTTCTGGAAACGATCTATATAGCTCAGTGGGCATTACCTGGTAAAATAAAAAATAGTTTTGTTTATGGATACTTTACCCCCGCTTCCTCTATATGACATAGGCTTTGCAATGATTCATCAAATAAAGCCACCATCACTATTATTATTATAACTACTATTACGGTTTGTTTACACGTTCCACATGGAATTAAAAGGTACAAAATTGGTTTAAAGTGGGTGTGTGTTCCTGGGGTGTAACAATGCGGTGATTTATGAATTAATGTAATGTTTAAGTTGGCATGCATCTGATCAGTAATTGGGTTCATGCGATCTTTCCAGCCACTAGAGGCCGCTACACTAATCTCCTTGTTTCGAGATTTTTATCAATATAAAATCTCAACCATGGTTCGCAAAAAAATCATTGACTCATAATAAAGGTGAATCGCTATACTCCTTGTGTTTAAGATACGTCCCATGTTTGAAATGGTCAGTTCAGTAATCTATGGGGCAGCAGCAATGGAAATTTCTGAATTTCAAAGCCAAAGTGATTTCGCGCACAAATGAGCATTGAGACAAATGCTCATCTCCCGTTCACAGCCCTGGGCCAGTGGTGGAAAATTCCACATTCTTTCGACGTCAATATCCGCTGTCCACAAGATTCTTTCTTTAGCCAACTGCATTTAGCGTTAATCCCGCAGGGCCACACACGTATGCAGAGCAGGCTTTTGGGGCGGGCACTAAGTGTCTGACCCTGGCCCAGAGTCAGTTGGTGGAAATTCAACGTTCCTATGGTGGGGCAAGTGCTCGGAAAACAGGTGTTGACTTCAACACAAAGTGGGTATTCCTTTTATTGACCCCGGAGGGATGATGAAGGGCTGAGCCAATCTCCGCATGCTGCATATGGAAATGCGGCTTCGTTTATCTCATTGTTGTTGCAGGTGTTCACATTTCTTAAATCATCTTTTCATTGCCGAACCGTATTTCATATTGTGTGAATTGTCATCTTATCATATGAAGAAAATGACCCTAAAATGCTCATCGTAATGAAAGGCAGTGCATCTTTTATGTGAACACATGAATTACAATTGTGCAAATTTATAATTGCCCATTATTTTTCCTTGCTCGTGCAACGGGTTGCTCTGTGTCCTCGTGTGACCGGCGAAATGACGGAATTGGCTTTGGGGAAGTCCATCTGCTTGAGCCCTTTATGATAAGGGGCAAAAACAATTTAATCAACATCCATGGATTGACACGAAGCTCTGCTCGTTGCCGGAAATCTCTTCATTAAATGAGATCAGATGTGAGAGACGAGGCTGGAGATGTTAAGCCCAGCATGCCGTCAACGGCTCGCTGCCAAGAGGCGGTTGATGAGCTAAAAATTAATGAGTTAATTAACGGAGGTAGCAAATTAACCACGCGCACCCAGTGCAGTATTTGTGCATGTGTCTAACCGTCATTTTCGATAGATGTTCACAAATCCGACCTTATCTCGCATGTGGTATTGAATTCTTAATCCCGCGTACTTCTGAAGCGCAGGAACACACCGTGCTACGTTTCAAGCAGGCTGCAATTTATTTTCGTCCGGTAACCTAATTGTGCACACGCGGTGGGGCAACTGTCATTTTGTATCAATTTTCACAGATCCGACCTCTTCACACGATCACTTATACTCCAAATCCCCAGCGAGTCAGATAAGCGACGCTGAACCGTGTGTGCAAACGAGCGAGCGAGCGGATAACTCCGCGAACCTTTCTCCTCCTCATCCTTGTTCTTTGGCGAACAGGTTCTCCCTCGCCAGACGTGTGGCCTCTTCACTCACACCATCTTCATCAAGGAGTATCCCGGAGGCTCCAAGGAGCTGGACAAGAGCATCCAGGGGGGCGAGCTCTTCCTCACCGTGCTGCTCAACCCAGTAAGAGAGCGGGGATGGGGAGGGGAGGTTGCACCTCACGTACCTGCATCTTATAGCTCCCTCGGGGTGCCACAGAAGCAGCCTGCAGCCTGGAGCCATACGCACTGCAGGGCTTGGTCTGCCTAGTCTCACAGACAGACAAAGGGGGTGTCGGCGCTTGCATTGGAAAGCCACTGAGCTCTCAAGAAGGCCTGGTCCGGTTGGTCTGGGTCATTAGAGAATCTCTGACTAGACCTGGTCCAGTCTGGGTCATTAAAGAATCTCTAACCAGGCCTGGTCCAGTCTGGGTCATTAAGGAATCTCTAACCAGACCTGGTCCAGTCTGGGTCATTAAAGAATCTCTAACCAGGCCTGGTCCAGTCTGGGTCATTAAGGAATCTCTAACCAGGCCTGGTCCAGTCTGTGTCATTAAATAATCTCTAACCAGGCCTGGTCCAGTCTGGGTCATTTATACTGCTGAGCGGACGGACAGAGGCGGGGGAAATTAAGAAGCTTGCGCCGATGTTTCAACTGCCGCTCCGGGGGTTGGGGGGGCTACTGTGATTTAAGAGGCGTGCTTTTTTTGATAAAGGTAAAAGCATTATCCCTTCCCTCTGTGGACATTAACGATTCTGTGTCTGTCTTCTGGAAGAGCTGGGGATGGAGGGGTGTGGGGGGAAGGGTTTGGGGTCTTGACCCTTCTGTCCCGTGGATAGAATTTCTCCGCAGCTCAATGAGGTCCCCGACCTGGCGAGTTTCCCACTTGCCGCCTAATTCCCGACATTGATTTTTTATCGAAAGGGGGAAGCGTGGGGTGGGGAGAATGGGAGGGGGCACGCTGGATATCCCTGTAAACGAGATCCACAGCGTTGACGTTGACACAAGCACCTGGGATTTCCCGTGCTCCCAGACAGCTCAATCAGAAGCGCTCGTCAAGCGTGGGCGACACGACGTTTAACTCCTCCTCCAGCAGCAGCGGCCGCGGTTCACCGAAGCGCCGCGTAGTCAAACAAAGCGCGGTGTGGCGGCGTAGCTTGCAGGTGCGCAGGCGGTGCAACTGCACCGGAGACCCCACGAACTGCCGGAGCTGTGCACTTGGACAGAGCGTGGGTAGGTGGAGGGGACCCATTACATTTTTTGCAGGATGGACCCATCTTGACCACGCTACACCACTGGCAGCATGTGTTGTGGTGTAGAAAAATGCCTGGGCTTTGTTTCTTTGAGCCTTCAGGCTAGAGTTGGCAATGTCATTCTAAATATTTATTTATTGAAAGATGCTCCTTTGCTCGTGTGTCTATCCGTTATTTTGCTTGTAATAATAATGAGACCGGAAATACGCGCGTGACTAGTAGACACAGTCGCAGCGAGAGGTCTGCTCGATGTTGTGTGCCTGGTCGTGAAAATATTTCCCGTGTCTCCTGTTTTTTTAAATATCGAAACCAATTAATGGCTAACGCTACGTGATAAATTAATTCACACGTGTGCAAAGCTGATAAAATAAAAGCCTCGTGGCTAAAACTAAGGCTTGCTTCCATTGTTTTCGCTCAGCGATATTCAAATGCCCGTGGATTTTGGTCAATTATTAAGAATCGCTGATGGTTACATTTGTAAAGAAAAAGCTCTCATCTGTGGATGTTTGCAATCGTTAAAAGGCAGCTGTTAATTTGAGCACTGGCAGATGACTTACAAAATCCCATAGCCCTGTAGGGGTTCACTTGCGTGGGCGAGCGATGCTGTAGTTAAAGATCTGCTCAGGGATGGGCAGGTCGCCGGTTCAAATCCCCATCGCAGGTCGATGAGACCTCCGGAAATCTAGGGTTATGGACGAATTAACCACGCGGTTTCACCCGTTAAACTTTAATTCACCGAACACTGACGAGTCCATCGATGGCAGATCCACGCCACGATTTCTTACTCTAGAGAGACGGTGATATTGTCTCTCTCCTTGCATGGGTTTTCACGGCCAGGTGCTGTGTACAGCTCTCTCTCTGATGTTGTTTTTCAGGCTGTGCCGTCGTGTTATTCAGCACGATGTCTGACGTTTCACCCCACGTGCTGGGAGCTTTTGCAGGAATTGAATTGGGCAGCTCAATTTCCTGCTCGATTACAGAGCGTTGCCAGTTGCAGCAGCAGGCAACCCCATATAACAAATGTTACCCCTGCAGCTACGTTCATCGCGATAGAAGATAATGAATTGATTGAGTTGAATTGTAAGCATGAGGCATGGCCCTTCATGGTATAATTTGGCAATACGTGAATCCTGAAATGCATATTCACAACTCTTGTTTGTATGGTCTTCCTCTCTTGATCACCACCTGCACAAAATGATGCTGCCCACTCCACACTGTGACTGGAGATTCCTGGGTTTTTAGACACTTAAAATATAAATTCCCATTGTGTTCCCAGTGTTCGTGATGAACATAGTAAGTTTCTACTTTTGCATCCGTACGCCACAGACATCACAGTGCGCTAATTTTGTTCCATATTCCAGATTGAATGCGCACTATTGCACTGAGTTGTATCGCATGCCACCGCGAACGCCACTTAAAATAAGACCCTTTCCTTTACCTTCTTCCCATTAGTCTAAAGGGGCCACCTGTTTTGCCCTAATGACGCCCTGCCCAGCTGCTATAGCTAAAGTCCATTCTGTGCTACCATTGATCCTTCTTGTACAGCCTTGGGGCTTCCTCTGCTCTGCCTCGAGACCCCTGACCTCAGCCTAAGGGGGGAGGATGGGGGGTTGGTTTCCTCCTTCAGCCTAAGGCGGCTGGGTTTATAAGTTGGGAGGACAAACATGAGGCTGCCACAGCGGCGTGCACGCATGCACGCTTCTTGTCATCGCAAGGAGAATATTGCTCCGGTCATTGCTACACTGGATGAAACGGGCGAGCCCCACGAGTGCTCGCCGGCCGGGACACGGTTACTCCCGTTGCGGCCGCTCGACGCGGCTCTCTCCGACGCGTCGGTGGGCTGCGCCACGTGTCGTTTCGCCGTTGTGTCCGACGTTTTTCGCCTACCACATGCTGGGAACTGTAAAAGAGGCTCTCGCCCGGCACGATGTCCGGCGCAAACGCCGAACGATGAGCGGCGCGTCCCGAGAGCCGCACCTGACGCGACCGCGAAAAGCTTTCGCAGAAGTTTTACTCGGCAATTATATCTCCGCTCGGTGTTGACGTAGTAAGTCAACGTGGGGGGTGGCGGTGGTGGTGAGCTGGTTGAAAAATGGAAATTGGGCGCAGAGTAATTTACTAGCGGATATTTAAAAAAATGAATCCCGATGGACTTGCAGTGATTTATTATGGGCGACAAGGTAATGGGTAGCACACTGGACTTGCAAATCAGTGGTCGCCGGTTCGATTCTGATCCTGGCAGCAGCAGTTCAAACAATGGCACAAGTTTCTTCAATTCAACCGCCATCTCTTCTGTCCACCGAGCATTGCGAATTGCGACATCGCAGTTCGTCGATCGGCAGTTCGCGGGCGGCGGGGTAAAGCGTGGGTACTCCCACTTATTTGTTTTATTGTTTTGTTTTACAGTACCAGGTGAGGCCCCACTGAGCTATATGGCCCTTTTTCAGAAGCGACCTGGCCACAAACGGTAGCTCATCGAAGTGGCTTACCATCATGTGGCAATGTATAGCAGCCAAATTCTCTTAAACGCACGTTTATAAATGTGGAGGGAAAAACCAACGCGACCATAGGGAGTGCATGCACACTCCAAATATGCAGGCGTCAGGGTGAGGATTGAACCTGCGACCTCCTGTATACCAGGCGAGGTGGTTAACATCTCCTAGCCACCATGGCGCCCTCTCATAAGGCATCTGGCCAATGTGGACGAGTGAACCAAAGTGCCATCTAGAGGGGGCTCTCTCTAGAGCTTCCTGTAGCGGAGACGCTTCCGCCAGCGGTGGAGTGAGCGACCAATTGCAGCGCTGCACCTTCACCATTACCTCGGGCCATGACGATTGTTGACCCTGTGCGCCGACGGTTGTCACCAATCAAGCCGACGGTTCTTACCAAAATCATCTCTCGGCGTGTCAGGAGAAGTGTCCGTGGCCACAGTCGTTGAGTTCTGAGCCAAGCTGGGTAACAACAGCAGCAGCAGCCGCTCGCCGCTCGGGCGCTGGCCCCCGAAACAGCGGCCGTTGACGCCGCGCGCAGTGACGGCGGAGCCGACGGCGCATTACCTCGTCGTTCTGGGCGAGCCGTGGGGTGTGACGCGGGGGGGTGGGGGTGCGCGGTGTCCCTAACGAAGAGCTCGCTGTCACCGGCGAGAGCGGAAGGCACCGCAGGTTTTTAAAAAACGAGCTTTACGGAGACGCTGTTGTCACTGGCCCGAGGGCATGTTCCCTTGCCTCATCGCGGGGAGTCACAAGTTGTCTCTCCCTGCCCCCCTCCTCCCCCCCAAATGGGCCCCTTCATCTGGCCGAGGCGCCGTGACACAGCATCGTAACGGTTCATCGACTCGCGGGTTAAATAGGATTTGTACGCTGCTGCCGATACACGGCATGGAATCTTGCGTGTAGGAATCGATCGCTACTGTACGACTGCGAATGTTACGAACTGTGATTGTAGTTTGTTGTCCTTCCCCCCCCCCCCCCCCCGAACCTTCAATGAGCACGGTTGGCTTCGTACGGTGCAAAAGAAGTGCAACATACGTACAGATGACATTGTGCAGAAGAGTGGTTACGCAATGGACAGAATGATTGTCAGGAGACAAAAAATGCCGTCTGATCTAAAATCAAAGCATGACCTTGCATTGTGACCGTCCATCCAGTCGCAGAAGGAAGGAGAGGTAGAATCTCAAATATATATATACATATTAATTAGTAAATTTGGTATTTGCGCTGTGTTACACAGGCGGGCAAAGTTTGCAATGTGGTGTTACCCAATTAAATAACTTTTGCAGGTAAAGTTTTCAAATCTGTCAAATTTGGAGCGTGACGCCGGCACACGTGGCCTCTACGCTTTAGTTGAATAACGTCCGGGGGATATTCTAACGTCCAACTGTGAAGCAGATAGCGCGTAGAGTTTATGGTCAATCCACCCGCAGTATTAACCAGGGTGGCTGCTTGGCTCGAACTGCGAACCTCTGCAGCAAGCACCCCACCCACCGCCCCCTGCCTCCACCGACCGTCATTTGCCCAAGACGTCGCCGTTACCTAGAATCGGCATCTTCATTTCGACTGCAGGAGGAATCCGATGAGCCGTGATGTCCAGCATGGGCGTGGGGTCAGCGAGTTAGGACAGCAAACGGTACAACAAAAACGATCGGAGTGCACAATAGAGAAAATGGTTACTAAATGTAAATAAGTAATAAATACAAGGCGGCAAAAAACACAACAACAAAACAGTCGCGGGACCACGCAAAGATAACACCGCACAGCAGCAGACCCGCAATAGAATGGCACGTGAACATTGAACTGTCGGTACACCGGTAATGATCGAAGCCTTCGTCTGCTTCCCGTGACCCTCGCAGATCAGCATCTTCATGACGCACCTGTCCAACTACGGCAACGACCGTCTCGGGCTGCACACCTTCGAGACCCTGGTGGACTTCGTGGGCTGCTGGACGAACCTGCAGCTGGCGACGCTGCCGCCCGTGCAGCTGGCGAATAAGTACTTCCAGCTGTTCCCGCAGGACAAGGACCCCCTGTGGCAGGTAACAAAGACAAAGATCCCCCCCCCCCCCGTATAGCCTTAACAGACTGTTAGGGGCAAGGGCTGTTCGCATGCACCGATGAAGGCCGGATCGGTACACGAGGGGGTGGGTGGCCAGCACCATGCCCGGCCACCTTTGTCTACCGAGTGGCGATGTTCGCGCACCGCACCAGGTACTCATTGGAGGCCGAGTCGACCTAGGGGAGGCCCAGGACCGGTTCAAATAATCGTCGCTGGTGTTGGCCGTGAGCAGGAAATCTAACTCGGTGACGGACGCAGCAGCAGCAACAACAAAACAGCCGCCGCCATTCGCCACTAATCGGTAGTGATGCCACCATGGCGCTTGCACCAGGCTTAGTGAAGTGTCGAACGAGCTCTGCTGACAGGAGGTCATAGGACAGACCCAGGTGCCGTGGGTTGGTATCGCCTGCGCTCCCTACTGTGCCCAACTTGCGGAGTTGTAGTGGGCCCGGCGCCCCAGTAGAGGCTTCACGTGCGACCCCCGCCCAAGTTCTTGTGTGCCGAGCACTTTGTGTGTAGTTCTGTGATGTCATTCACTCTGCAGCACAAGGCTCGGAGCACCGAGCCGAAACGCAGTCTCACGACATAATGCCGACGAGTACAATCAAGATAAAATTACTGGGGGAAAAGTTCAAATCTAGTTTTTATCGGTTTCTCTTACCCAGCATCATGCAATGCCCTTTGATGCTTTTTAAAAGAGCGCTTCACCACATTTTTATCACCCTGTATATTTCATTAATTGCAGTTCTCACTGCTGGCATTATGCCCAGTTTGGTTAAAAAAAAAACTTAATTAGTTTTTTGATCCCGTGGTCATTGATTGCACAAGCGGTTGCATTTTCACCAAATAATGCATTTTATTTTAAATACCAAAAAACAATACAAAGGCATCATCCGTCTTCGCGGTGGTATAAGTTCACATTTTATTGGCAGCTCTGTTAAAAAAAATATTCGTGTGCAACAACCATACCATACATCACTAGTAATGAGCATCTGATCCCTTGATCTTAAACTTCATCAAACCTTTGCGCTTATCAAACATGTCACACCGATATTAGCGATTCAGCTATCTCACGCGATTGGCACCAAAACGTGACGCGCAATCTGTCGCTTCCTCGGAAGCTTGTACAGTCGTACCTTGGAGGCTTCTATTGCGCCAAGGTCATCGCAAAAACATGGCCCCGGCTGTCTGTCTGATATTTCCCTTTGGAATGTCCCTTTTCAGAACCCTTGCAACGACAAGAGGCACCAGGACATTTGGTCTAAAGAGAAGACCTGCGACCGCCTGCCCAAGCTGTTGGTGATCGGGCCCCAGAAGACCGGTCAGTGCTTATGCGAGGGAGCGCTTATTATTATTTTATTATTTTATGAACTCATTTAGGATGATTGAGGGTCCCAGTATCGGGGAGCTTAGTTTTGCTTCCGTTGGCTGCTTCGCAAAAGGAAAGCGCCGCTCCACCCCGGGGCCTCTCTCCCCCCCTCTCCTTGCCTCGTCCCAACTGAGCCGTGATTTATTGCCGGCTGTTAAGTTAGCCGGGACGACGGTAAGCACTTGGGATCCCGCGCTAAAGGCCAGTGGTGAATGTGTTAATGTCCGCCGTGTGCATTTGCCATGAGATTTCCGGCGAGTTCAGGGCCGACCAGTTGGCCACCCGGCAGTGTGCGGTTTTGTTGTTTATTCACCAACAGCACAGACACAAAGACGCTTGGGTAGACGTCCTCCAAAGCGTCCTCCAAAAGCGACCGACGTATTGGCGCTCAATCGTAGCGATCTACGGCCGTGGCCCAGGGAGGATAGACAGGGTAGAGGAAGGGGGCACAGGGAGAAGGGTAGGAGGACACAGAAAGAGGTGGGTGGTGTCGTACGTCATTTTTAGATTGTAAATATTGTGGATTTGCTCTCCAACACACCAGTATGCTGTACTAGTAACGAATAGGCACGTTCTGTTTACGTGACAAACCTTACTAATTGGCTGTGTCGGGTGGTGGCGGGTTTAATGACGCATTTATATTTTCGCGATTATGGATGTTTTAGCTGTAGTCTCAGTCTAGTCGATGATGCAGTTGGGATTTTAGTTAAGTCGCAATCAGCGGATTTTGCGTAGTCGTGGTGGAGACACGGCTCAAGCGGACACTCCCTCCCTCCCTGCCCTCCCTCCCTCCCCTCCCCTCCCTGCCCTCCCTCTCCCTTCCCTTTCCTCCCTCCATTATCATCAGGTCAGCCAATCGGTGAACTCGGTAAATATTTTTTACATTGCATATATAAATGAAATAAGACTACCATTGTTGGTGTTGCTCTGTGCACTGCAGTCTCTAACAAAACTACTAAATTATCTCAGGTCCGCGTATTCATCCAGACTCGTTAATTTAGCCTCGTCAAGTCGGTCACGCTTGGACCTGTGGTGAGCAGCAGCCGTAGTCATGGTCACGAGCCTGAAAGCTTATCGGATTCCTCCAGTATTAACAAATATTCTCATTCATGCTCGATAATTTTTATCTGCTCCGAGTCATTGTCCACTATAATTATTAGGAGTATAATAATGATTATGTTTAAAAAGATACTTCATCAACGAATATTTTTCGCCGTACCTTTCGATAACGACCGGTCGGCGTGAAGCACTCATCTTTGAATGTCCCACCCGCCCCCCCCCCCCCCCCCCCTCTCAGACTCCGTAGGGATTTTAGTTTTTCCCCTCCGCAAACGTAGATGCAGGAGAACTCTTGGGTCAGCCAGACTGGAATCCATCTTCACAGTGCTCTGTTTAGACCGGTGCACTCCTTGAACCTTTGCCCTGCTGCACACTCTGGCTCTGTGAAATAAGTGGCCCGGGTGTGAGCTGGCCTTGCCAGTATTTTCCTTTTTTTTGCCGTTGTTTTTTTATCGTTGGTAAATATTTATCCAGTCGAAGCTCTATCACTCGGCCTCCTTGGCTCTTCTTGAAAGAACTGCCTTGGCTTGTGTGTGCTTTGTAGAAAATCCCCCCCCCCGCCATGTTTATAGCCGGCTGCGGTTAATTTGGTAGCGACGCACAGGCACGCGTGTACCCGAGGGTACAGACGCGGGTTCATTATAAACGGGGCTCCGGTGTACAAGGGCGGCATACCAAATGATGTGGTGCACTTGTTCGTCGATGCGTCAATATGGTTTGCGGTGTTGCGTACGAGTGCGCGTGCTTGCGTGCGTGCGTGTGCAGTCACACATATAAGTGGGAGCGGTAGGGCGGCGGTTAGCGCTACGCTGCGCTACGAATCTGGCGACCTAAGTTTGATTTCCCGCTCACGGCCACCAACACCAGTGACGATTATCTGAATCAGACCTGGGCCTCCCCTAGGTCGACTCAGTCGCAAACGAGTACCTGGCAGAATGTGCAAACATTGTTACTAGAGAAACAAAGGCGGCTGGGCGCGGTGCTGGCCGCCCACCTCCTCCGATGCCATGCCAGCCTTCACAGGTACTCGCTAACGGCTCTTACCCCAACAATCTGTTAAGGCTATACGGAGGGAGGGGGATCTTTGTGTGAGCGGTGGTGGTGCGGTATTTTGCTCACTGCTCTACAAACCAGATGACCTGGGTTCAATTCCCAGCCATGTCCGATATCAGAAAGTCACCTCAGCCTCAAAATTAGTACCTGGCGCGGTGTGTAAACATTCGTGCTGGGTAGACAAAAGCAGTAAAAGCCAGTATTGATGTTTTTTGCCGTGCCGGCACAAAGTAGACACTTCCCAACAGCGCCTGTTTCGATGAGACTCATTGATATGCACCTCCTCGTTGTCGTATCCAACTATCCAATGGGCCTCCATCCTGCATCCTACTCTGTATTTCACCATTCCCGATTACTGATAAACCTCACACGGGGAACGTAAGAGTCCCTTCTGATGTTCGGCTAAGAGAGGCCTGGCGTGGTTACTCCGCGAGTAGTCGAGTGAACCTGCCTTCCGGGGCGATGCTTTGCTGACCGGTGTAATTTCAAACGGACGCTTCTGCGCCTCGCGACGCGATTCCAGTGACGTTCAGCCAAAACAAATAGAAAAGTGAAAGTCAGAGTGAGGTCAACTCGGCGCTGTTTTGCGTTGCGCCGACCCGCCAGAGTTTTGTCAAATCTCTGCTGCACGCACTCTCGTGCCGCCTGCCTCGCATGCAGCGGCGGGCTCATTATTCATCTAAGCCGGAGGCATTGCTCCGTGGAGCCGGGGCTTCGTGGCACATTAATGAATTCACGTGGCTTCCTCGCCTTCAGCAGCGCCATCGACGCCGCGGCACCCCTCGCCCAAAGCCCCGTCGCCCCTCGCTCCAAAATCCCAGAGCAACCCCCGCGGCAGTAACGACTCAATTAATATCGCACTCGACGAGAGGCGGGGGTGGCGTGCCAACCTTTTTTTTTAAACGGTTAAAAATCACCTCTCAAGGCACCGGCGATTTGCGTTACGAAAATGCACCCCAAGTATCGCGCAGCCGCCCACGCTTGTCGGACTGGTTCAATTTCTCTCTCTCGCGTTGATTTTTCTAAGGCAAGCTTTATTGGCTTGCCGAATGTTATTCCTGGGAAATATCACGTATGTCTGTGCGTCAATCCCCGTCTTGTTGTAGAACGCGCCCCATGTTTTAATGAAAGCTGCAAACGTCTAAACCATTCGGTATGAAACTTACCGCGGCTCATCGATGCCAGTGAAATGTCCACCACAGCTCACCAACGTTGATGAAACGTACCACGGCATTTTCCCCTCTGGAACGTTTCTGGGCTGGCTTGAGGGAGGTAATGGGTATCAGCGTTAGGCCTTACCGCTCAAGCGAGATATACTTATTGATGACACTGTGTAAGAATTATTTTTTGTTCCTGGGTAGTAAGTGTTATTTCCTAATTGCTTATGCCTCAAAAGTATAGAAAATGGCTATTATTCCTCACAAACTTTGCTTTTGTGACCAGGACAGTGATACTTTGAAATTTACCCATTTTCAATGAGAAAACTGGCGAATTTGTGTCTTTTCTTTCACATAAAGTAAAAAACAACACATGAATCAAAATTTACATGTATTTATACTAAAGTAATACAAAAATTACTACGAAAGATTTAGACACCAAGGCGCACTATGACAGGCGGGACTGGCCACAGCGGACCGAGTTCTCTGTGGGGAGGAACAAACTCGAAAAACTACTCAATTCTAAATCTTTTTCCGTACTTTTTAGGCATAAGCAATTACAAAATAACACTTATTACCCAGGAAGAAAAATAGTGTTACATAGTGTAATTATCCTGCATCATTTTTATTATTTATTTTACCCTATGTTGATGTAATAATATGAACAGGTTTTTAAAAGTTTCAAAGATAAAATGAGGTGTGAGACGGGATGTACTGCGCTAAAATAACTGTGGCCTGGTCTGGTGCAGATTATATTAAGCACTGCCAGTATAGCTTTTGAGCAAGATTTGGCAACAAAATAAAAAAAACGCTAAAAATATACAATTTCAAAGCTCCAATTACGATGTGCACCGGCATGGTTAGAGTGTTACGTGCGTTGGAACATGCATGCGGTGTTTGTGCTATCCTTGCGTACGATTGCATTATGTTCAGGCGCTAATTGCCACAGTTGAGGTCTGCTACGCACGAGAGTGGCTTCAGGGGAGAGTTTGTGCAGTTCTGCTATCGGTCTGATGAAGGAGCGCAGGCTACATTACGCTCCACGGCTGCTTGCATGTTCCTGTAGACATCTGCCGGCAGAATGTTTGCCTGAACGTGCAGCCAGAGGATTTGTGACAGTTTCAGCAAATCTGGTCTTGAAGCGCGTTGCGTTACTTAATTGCGCATCTGGTAGTTTTGTGTACGAGCTCCCCGGACCAGGCTGTAGGGCAGCGATTCTGCCCTTGGGTAGATCAGTGAGAGGGTGGCAGTTTGCAAGTCTTTCCCACAAGTTTCTGTAGCGGGGCGGTTCTTGATTTGGTGTTCAAGCACACGCACGCCTAACTAAAGCGTGCTCGTTTTATGCGTTCGTACTTGTGAGTCTTTGCTCGCCTTCCTTTGCACAGTTAAATCCTCTTGCTCAACGGAAGCTCCCTTAACCCTTTCTCGTTCCGAGACGTTTGCAAATTTCAGGGTGGGTCCCGTTCACTGCTGAGTCTCGCAACGCACAAGCGGGTCAGCTTTAATTTTACTCTGAGAGGCGTAGCGCCGCTATTTTTGTGTCGCTACAGAAAACTGTAGCGACACGACCACACTCTGCGATAGCTGACGGCAAACTGTGCCACGCGCCCTCCCGCATGGCCTCGTGAGAGCCTCGGTACCGATAACGTTTTTTTCTTCCTCCGGTTTCCGTTCCGATGAGGTACGTGTATGTCATCGGAACGGGAAAGACTTGTGAGTTAGTTGTCCTCTCTCCCGTGTTGCTCGATGGAGAAGAGCACTCGCGCATGTACCACTGCCGTGGCACTTGCCAGTCGTGTTTCAATCCCTCGCTTGAGGTGAAGAGCGTTGAGCTGAGTTTGGAGGTGTCCAGCTTGAGTGAGCGATCAATGAGGAATTCCAGGAACGTTTTAGCATTTTTATTGTTTTATTATTATCATTATTAATGCTACTTTGTGTGAGCTGCTTGAGTGGGGATTGTCTTTTTCTATGATGTGATACTACGTCAGACGGATATAGAATTAACCCCTCTCGTAATTCTACCAATCGCCATCATTCGGAGTTGCGATTCGGTTCAATAATTGATTCTTTGTTGTTAATATTGTGGTGCGTCTAGAATGACTGCGGGTTTTTACCTGAACTAATTATATATGATGTATACACATCTAATACAATCATTTCTTCATTGCACGAATTGATGTTTGTGTAATCGCCATCAGCTGACCTGTGGCTGAGGTATATGTATAATGTTCGTGACGTTGGCAATGTTAGTGACGTCGCTGCCATCATCAACTATTATGATTGTTGCCATTAATTACTTTCTGTTTTCTTATTTATTATCCGTCACGATCGACTTGCGCGTGGCCCTGACCGCTCCCTTGAGGTTTTCTCTCATAACTCTATGGGCGCCCGACATCGTCGCAGCTCTCCTCGTCCGCTCGCGAGCCTCGGGAAACGTCGCCAACGTCGGCACGACGCGCGGCATTGGTGCGATGTAGTGACACCGTTTCCCGCGCCCCTCCCGGCCCCAGGCACCACGGCACTCTACACGTTTCTGAAGCTTCACCCGGCCATCACGAGCAGCTTCCCCAGCCCTGCGGCCTACGAGGAGGTGCAGTTCTTCAACGGCGCTAACTACCACCGAGGCCTCGACTGGTCAGCGCGCAAATCCCGCGTCACTCGCCAACACGCACGCACTCGCGCATTACAAATACGCGTGGAGTTACACTTTTTTTTTATGATTTACCAGGTAAGGCCCACTGGGCGCGACAGCTCTTTTTCAGAAGCGACGTGGTCACAAATGATAGGGCAACGAGAAGTGGCTTATCACGTGGAAATTTATTGCAGCCAAATACTCTAAACGCGTGATGTTGGTTCTAAATGTGGAGGGAAAAACCGGAGGACCCGGAGAAAAATCCACGCGACCACGGTGAGAGAGAGATACAAACTACAGTACAAATGTACAGGCGTCAGGGTCGAAATTGAACCCACGAACTCCTGTATACCAGGCGAGGTAGATCTCAAGTGCACACGCGCCCACGAGATTGTACGAACACACATATTGCCAACACGCAAACCTGCATACACAGGCACACACTTAATATTTACCAATGGAGCCCATGTAGAGTGTTGGGGCAGGTGTTGTTAGTGACCGTGTAACAAACTCTTCACTAGCTTGGCTTAGCCTTAATTGAGCACGTGGGTTTGATACATCAACATCAACATTGGGGAGACAAAGTTGGCTGTTCACGGTGCTAGCCACACCTTGTGCGCCATATTCATCATCATCAGCTGCCACGAGCAACTGACCGCTGGATGAAGGCTGCCATCTCTCGCGATCTTGCTATGTAATTATATCCACCTAGCTCCTGCACACGAACTGATTTCATTGCGCGCTACGTACGGTGCAAAAGAAGTTCGACGTGCAGTACATACAAAGGCTATTAATGGACAGTTGGGGGGCGATCTTTGACTATTTCGAAAATCTTGGGCTTCATCGCCCCCCTGTTGGAAAACGAATGCCAGTTTGCATGCCGGTGGTGGGTCAAACTTGTGCTGCTGCGCAAGAGCGCAAAAGTGTGTTCGCCACATCCACGCCTCTATATAAGGAATGAAACGGGTGGACTCCTCCACAAATGTGGCTGTCGCCTGATGAAGCTAGTTGTAATTACTGGCGAAACGTCGTACTCAGATTGTAAATGTTGTGGCTTGGCTCTCCAACACACCGGTAGTGCTGTACTCGTGACGAATTGGCACGTTCTGTTCACGTGACAACACTTACTAGTTGACTGTGTCGGGTGGTGGCGGGTTTAACGACACATTCATATATTTACGCGATCTAACCAAAAAAAAACCTCTATTATGGATTACTTGGAATTGCTTCGGGATTTAAGTTGCCCCATCGATGCAAATCCTTGATCTTTGTGCCCCACCCGCACGTCCGCCCTACTCCCCCCCCCCCCCCTCGCCCTTTCCAACCGGGCCCCCCAATTGTGTACAGGTACATGGAGTTCTTCCCGGCGCCGTCGAACCGCAGCGCGGAGCTGTTGTTCGAGAAGAGCGCCACGTACTTTGCGAGCGAGCCGGCGCCGCACCGCGCCTTCGCGCTGCTGCCCACCGCCAAGCTCATCACCATCCTCATCCCGCCCGCCGACCGCGCGCACTCGTGGTATCAGGTGTGGCGGCGCACGCCCCCCTCACCTCACCTGTCACCCCGTCTCACCTGTTTCCTCATCAGCCCTGTCCCCAAGCCTTGTGTGCTGTGCTGGCTTTTATAGGTGCTCACTAATAGTCTATAAGGCTATATGGCGATATGTATATTAAGTGCGTTTGCGTGTTTGTTTGAGTGTGTGTTTCAGCGTGCGTGTGTGTACATGCACGTGCAAGATCTGGGGAAAGTCCCATCGGTGAGCTCCTCCGGCAGGCAAGGCTGCGTGCTTTAACAGCTTTTGGTCGGCCGGATCGAGGGGGCTAAACGGGCGCAGCACGGGCTAGAGAAGAGATGTAGTGACGTGGTACAGGAGGATGTGGAGCTGAGTGGACTTGCCGATGACTGGTACCAGCGGTGTCAAGATCGGCCTCAGTGGATGAGGCTCGTGAAGGACGCTACTGGGCAGTTGGAGGCAGTCGCCCTCCAGCAACAACGGAGGGCGGAGGAGCGACGCTCACAACAACGAGCGGAGCGACTGGGGTCTAAAGCACAGCAAGTTAGCACAGTAGGGGGAACAGGTGGTGCATCAGCCAGTCATCTCGGTCATCTCGGTCAGTCGACCCGTAGCACCTGGGTCTGCCCCGTGACCTCCTGCCAGCGGGCGTTCGACACTTCACGTGGCCTCAAGGTGCACATGGCCTGGCACAAGCGTCGTGGTGACGTCACCGGTACTTAGTGGCGAATGGCGGTTGTTGTTTACGATTGTGTTGCTACAGGTGGAAGTGTGCAAACGCACGTGTACGCGTGTGTGTATCGCTGTGTCCGTTTTCAACAATGGTGCTCGTGAGCATTCACTTGCCCCAAAAGTGGGTTAAGGCTATTCGGGAGATCTTTGCCTTTGTCTTGTTTTCAACAAAGTTCTCCGTTTGTTCTTTTCTTTCATTATCACCGCCAGAGTTATCGCTCGGTGGCAACCAGCCAGAGTCCAGTTAGCCACGAAATAATTACAAACCGACAACCCGGCTCATCCAATTAGTGTGAGGAAAATGTTTTTTTGTCCTCGTTAATGACTTTGCAATCTTTATAATCCTGCTTGCAGCAGAGCGCCCCCCGTCCCTCCGCCCCCCCCACCCCCAAAAAAACAATTTATAGACGGCGGGAAAAATACCTGCACCTGGCAGCGCGTCGAGCAGCTGAGTTCGGCGCTCTGCGTCTTTTTGGCGCGGAAAATAAAACGTCGGAGCCTGTGGGGGGCCGCGGGCACGGACCGCTGGAGGGCGCGCTCAGCCGGTCGCCTCGCGGCGCTGAACTTGTGCCGAGGCGTTTTAATAAATCAAAATGCGTACGCATTCCACAAGTAGTGACTAATCCCATATCTGCATTTCCCATAAATATGCTAAATTCCTCTTGATATGCAAATTCCTTTGTCAAGGCGCTCTTCCCCCTCCAACTCAGCTTAAATATACGCTGCCAAGCCTGGTGGTGTTCATTCAGACGCTGTCTTTCCGACAGACTTGTTCTTCACCCGAGGGGACGGCTGCTTGCGTTGTGGCCGAAACGTCGTGAAAATTATTTTATTATGTTTTATTTTTATTATTTTATTATTTCCCTTCTACGTGACTTTACCGAAAGATCCAAGAAGATGAATCCCTGCAGTCACGAAAGCTTTAAATCGAAATTTAAATTTAAACGTGTTTCTACTGCAGCGGCATGAGGTGATTCGGGAAGCGATGGGGGGGAACTATATTTCAGTGAGGCCTGCCCGAAGCCGTGTCCTTTGCGTACATTTAATGCGATTGGACCTCCCCCCCCCTCCTCCACCACCGCCCGTCCCCCTGTAAAAAGAAAAAAAATCACCCCGCAAAAATTATTTCTACCTGCGTGTGTGTGCGCTTCAGAAGGGGGAGCGGTAGTGTCGCGGTTAGTGCGCTGCGCTATGAACCCGGCGACCCGGGTTCGATTCCCGCTCACGGCCAACACCAGTGATGATTTTCTGAACTGGTCCTGGGCCTTTCCTAGGTCGACTCAACCTCAAATGATTACCTGGTGCGGTGTGTAAATATCGCCACTAGGGAGACAAAGGCGGTCGGGCGTGGTGCTGGCCACCCTTCCCCTTGTGTACCGTTCTGGCCTTCATAGGTGCTCGCTAACAGCACTTGCCCCTACAGTGTGTTAAGGCTATACGGGGGATCTTTGTTTTTTTTGTTTTGTTTTTTTGCTACAGAAAGGAGCGGAAGTGCAGTGGTTAGTGCACCGCGCTACGGACCCAGCGACCCGTGTTCGATTCCCGCTCACGACCAATATCAGCAGAAAATATATGAACCAGTTCTGGGCCTCACCTTGGTTGGCTTAGCCTTAAATTAGTGTATGGTTCCGTGTGTCAAAAACCTCAGCACTGGGGAGACAATGTTGCCATGAGTGCTGTTGGTCATCCCCTCGTGTGCTGTGCTGGCCTTAATAGGTGCTCGCTAACAGCAGTCGTTAGCGCACCACGCTCCGATACTGGCGAACTCGCGTTTGATTGCTGCTCAGGGCTAACATTGTTCTTGAATATCTGAGCAAAACATCAACACTGCTGCTGGAGCTTGTGTGCCCACCGCCAGCCATTACTGGTCGCTAGCTCACAGCACTTGCCCAAACAGTCTGCGTAGGCTATGAAGGGGAGATTTGTCTCTGCTTTGGGTACATTTTTCACGAAGTGATCTATCTATCCCATTAAAGGATTTTGTGCGTGCACTGCTCTAAGCCAGGCGTGGTGGCGCATGCCTGCGGTACGGTGCGAAAGAAGTTCAACGTACATACTCGCAGCCGATCCTGGGAAGGCAACGGTTGTGGAGGATCGTGAAGATTTGTGATTGTATTCTTGACGCGAATCGTCACAAGCGGACCTCGGGAGCGTTGTTGTCTCCCGAAAATTGAGCGCGAGTTTCCTCGGGCCAATCGTTGCGCGGTAAAAATGCCTCAAGATTTTTGGGCAGCTTAACCGCCCAAATTGTGAGGATTGGCACAGTTCGATAACGGTCGAGAATACACCTGGTTTAGGGCGTGCAAGGCACTGTGGTTACTGTGCATGTCGTGCATTTGGCAAGCGAAGTCGTCCGCCGCTCCACGCCTGTCCGCGCTCGCGTCGTCTCAGCGACTGCGTGCAGCTGTGTGCCAGCGCTCTCCGATGTTCGTGTTTTTTGCACGACGTCCGGACGTTTTGCCCCACGTGTGCTGAATGATTGGGGCTCGCGGGTCAACTCGTCACTGGGAACCGAATCGAACGAAGCGCCTCCCGCAACGCAAAGAGGCGAAGGACGTCGTACTGGGTGCTGCGGTGCAACCTGAGAAATCACATCGGAGAGCTCTGCTCGACTTTTCTGTTTTTATGATCATGAGCAGCAGCAGCAGCTTTCATCAGTCCACTGCTGGATGAAGGCCTCCCCAATGCGCCGTCATCTCCCACGATCTTACGATGCCGCAATGCCTCCAGCGCCTGCGCACTTGAAACTCATCTCGCCGCTCCATCTCCCCAGCGGATGCCCTCTCGGACACATTCCATTCCTCGGGTGCCACCCGGCCCCACTGTTATCATTCGCGAGGATCGGTCGTCAGCCCTTCTGCCCGTGAAAGTGCCCCGTTTTAATCAACTTTAAATGGCAAAAAAAACGCAGCGAGCGGTGATGCGAGTATACGTATGTGAAGTCCAGAGTGGCTGTGCGTGCTTGGGCGCGTCCACGCATGCATGGACGCGCCAGATTATAGGCAGCGATAGAATGCCCGGAGCCACAGTTCCTTGGTGCTGCTGCTGCTGCTGCCACCACCGCACGTTACATAACGGTGACGTAACGCAGCAGCAACGTGCGTCCTTAAAAGCCGTGTTTTCTGGGCCACCCTTCGTGCTGATTAACCCCTCTCCCCCCCCCCCCCCCACTGCCTTGTAAGATAAGGACAAAGTTGCGTTTTGTTACGAATGCAAACAAACTCGCCGCATTCGCTCTTGACGCCGGCTCCAAGCGGATGAATGCATCGTAGACGATGGTATTGGACAGTGTCCCTGCTTCCGATCAGTGCGTGTTTGCGAATGTTTGATTGTTCGTGGGGGTTGTTGTTGTGTTTGTTTATCGGTGTGGTGTGACGTGGACGAGTGGGTAGCCCGTCTAACCGCTCGTTGCAGAGCTTCGCGGTTTGTGGTCCACGGCCGCCCTGGTTAACCCTGCGGGCGTATTAACCATAAAGTATGCGCCGTCTGCTTCACGGCTGACGGTAATCACCCCGCCGCCACGCGTGTGTGTTGCCGGCCTCTAATGGTCCACATTTTTTTTAATTGAAAGGAAAAAATATTTTTTCATCGGGGAAACCGCACAACAAATTAATGTTATTACAGTCATAGTGTATGTGTGTGCGTGTGTTTTGCAGTAGAGTTGTTGTTAGCGCACTGCGCTATGAACCTGGCGACCCGAGTTCGATTCTCTGAGTAGCTAGTGCGGTGTATGGAATATCAGCACTGGGGAGACAAAGGCGGCCGGGCGTGGTGCTGGCCATCCACCCCGTCGTGTGCTGTGCCAGCCTTCACAGTTGCTCTCGAACACCACTTGCCCCAACAGTCTGTTAAAGGCTATACGGGCGATCTTCGCCTTTATGTGTTTTGCGCGTCCAGCATCAGAGGGCACACCGAGACGCCGCTGCCACCAACTACTCGTTCCACGAGGCCATCGCGGCCGGGCCCGAGGCGCCCGCCTCACTGCGCAGCTTGCAGAGCCACTGCCTCCTGCCGGGCCGCTACGCGTCGCACCTGGAGCGATGGCTCGCCAGCTACCCGCCGAACCAGGTGACGTCGCAAAACAGGGTCCCGCAGATAATAAGCCGCTCGGCGCGAGCTGTTTATTCATCCTGTGATGTGCGCATTGCCATTCGTGACGCTCGCCTTGTGGCGTCCGCTGGTCTTAAGACCGGTGCAGAGGCAAGGCCATGAAGGAGGCTGCCTCTGGTGTGTATAGGCCAATCGATTTCAAGGACAACGCTTACATTATTATCAAAGGACGTTTGTTTGCATGTTTTACCACAAGCGTGTGCAGTTCATGCAGACTTGATGCCTTACAATGGAGTGTCTGTTTGGTGTTTGAACATTGTAACACCTCCCCTGTGTTATTGCCACGCCAGGCATGCGGAGTATTTGATCGTGCGCTTAGATATACGCCGAGCCCCGAATACAACTTTGAATGTTACAAGCGAGTAACAGAATACTCCTGTGGAGGTTTTTATAACGTGTGCGCTGCACGGCTTTCCGTTGTGCGTTCGGGTCGTACCACGGCGTGTTATTTGGCACAATGTCCGACGTTTCGATCCACGTGTTGGGAGCTAGTTCAGTTCCGCCTGAATGAGCTTCCCAGCACGTGGAGCGAAACGCCAGACATCGCGTCGACACAACACGCGGTACCAACCGACAACTCATCGGAGGGCCCTGAACAGCTACGACCGCGAAAACCTACGCGCCATTGGCTGAAACACACAACCAGCGCACAGACCCCTCGTCAAACTTTGAATGCAGCAAACGATGAAGATAATTACGGTTGTCCATCGTCGATTATCTCGTTTATGATTCACCCCCCTCAACTGTTCCAGAAGCCATGTGGCCGGGTCGCTCAGAGGTCATTGACCTGAGCCCAGAATCTCAGTGTTGCCAGCTCGGCGATCGGACCTCGCCTCCGAGGATTGCATTTTAAAACTAGTTCGTTTTGAGACTCATCCACCTGAAGGGTTTTTCTGTATTGAGCTCATTGGGAAGATTTTAGATATTCCCATTGGTCAATCCCCCTCAGTCGGTGATTTTACACAAATGCACATTTGTTAATTTACTCCTGGAACGTGTGCCCCAAACGGTTCCAGATTAGTGACGAAAATCAATTGTAATTAAAGCCTTCGGTTGCGTGTGAATGCAGCGTAACCTGACACCCGTGTTGTGTTGTGTTTGTTTTTATTATCGCCGTAAATGTCCCCAGCTGTTAATTATCGACGGGCAGCTCTTCAAGGTGAACCCGGCGGAGGTGATGGAGCGAGTTCAGAAATTCCTCGAGGTCAAGCCGTATCTCAACTACACGCGCACGCTCACGTGAGTTCGGCTCGCGCACGACATAGCCCACGACGTGACGCACGACGTCACGCACGACGTCACGCACGGCATAGCCCACGACGTCTCGCATGACGTCACGCACGACGTCACGCACGGCATAGCCCACGACGTCACGCATGACGTCACGCACGACGCGATGATTCTCCCGACTTGACCGGAACCCAGGAATGTCAAGGTAAACATAAATATTTGTTGGCCAGCGCACCTCGCCATCAAGCCCTGGCCGTCGTCAGCCGGAATCCTGTAGGTTCTGAAAATTCGACACGTGATCCTGGAGGGCCCGAATGTTAAGAGCCTCACCATCTCCGCCGTTTTGGTCGCCAACTAATAGCAGTCCCACTCCAGTGCCCGCTCCGACGGGCCGCCCTTCTTCTCTCTTGCACAGCTGGCCCACCCATCACAAGCTCTTCGTCCCGATACACCTTAAAAACCTCTTCCTTCCGCAGAATATCTGAACTTCTCGCCCCCCCCCCCCCTCCTTACCGCTCGTGCTCTGTATCGGGGTCTCTCTTCTCTTCGGTGACTACCGCGTAACTTACCCTGTTGCCAACAAATTACAAGCATCCCTTTTCTCGATGCTTGGATATACACAGCGATGGCACCAAACTCGAGTCTGGCACAATCGCTGCGGTCGAGTGCCACGTTTAGCGCCAAATGTCATGACGTAATAGAGCAACGGAATGTGACCACATCTGTCGCAGACGCTTACGCTCAAATGTCAACCTCTAAGCCACGCAGTATGACAGATCGCCCTCCTTCCATTACCGCTTTCTAATACTCTACGCTCAGACTTAGCGTTCTTGTCTCTTTGTTGTCCTTCCCTCCGCACACTCCGATTAGCGCGGTTGGCTACGTACGGTGCGAAAGAAGTTCAACATACACACATAAACCTTCAATGAAATTCCCAAGAATCGCTCACGTGTGCCTACGTTCGTTCACGTGTGCCTACATTGTGGAAAAATCCCACTCTGACCCACACAGTAACACAAATATGATGAGCTATGAAGCTCTTTTTCAGAGATGTCTCGTATGAGCGGGTCCGCAAGGAGACACCTTGACATTTAGAGTTCACAGTTGTTCATAAGTTCATCTGAGCTGGAGCGTGTCGTTGACCACCCTGAAAACCAGATTCAACATTGAGCACTGAAGTTTATCGATGAGAAAATGAACGGCAGAGTGCAGACCGAGAGAGGGCAATAGCAGCAGCGGAGGAAGAAGCAGCGGAACAGCTGAGCGAGAGACGAGTGAGAAGAAGAAGAAGTCGCAGAATTCGGAGGCAACTTCCGAGTGGAAGAATTGTGGGAGGCTTTTGCCCAGCGGTGGGAAGTTGCAGGTTGACACCAACAATGACGATGGCGACAACGAGGACAGTTTAATGGCGCAACCAATATGAAGTTGATGGGGTCTATGCGGCCGACACGAGACCGCGGGTGACTGAGTCGCCACGAGCTCTGGGGAGTGCAACGATTCCGCCATCAAAATGGATTTCGACGCTCGGGGGTGGTGGGGGGGGGGGGGACGCGCACAATTTTGCGCGCGTGTCCACCGATTCGAGCACAGCCCGCGCAGCTCTCCCCGTCAGGCTGACCGGGCGCACTGACCGCGACGCGGACAAACGAGACGCACGGTGAGCAGCGTGGCGCCCGGCGGGGCTAAAACGGAGACGCTGCACGTGGGATTTGGCTTCACCGCCCCCCCCCACCCTTCGGGAGGGGGCGAGCGAGACGGAACGAAACGGACGAGCGCCGACAAAACGGACGAGCGCCGACAAAACGGACGAACGCCGACAAAACGGACGAGCGCCGACAAAACGGACGAGCGCCGACAAAACGGACGACGCACGCCGTGAGGGGAACGGACGAGACGAGGCGGAATCGATTCTCGAATCGAGCCGTAACGCGGGCTTCGTGACAGTGTATTGAATTTTGACTTAAAACTCTCGTGACTGCAGGAATTCATATTCTTGGCTCTTTCGGTAAAGTCACATAGATATAAAATAAAATCTCAATAACAGATAATAAATTAAATAAATTAAAATAAAACAATTTTCATTGAAAATAATAATAATAGCAAAAAACCCCACGACGTTTCGATCACATTGTATTTTCTATCTACTTGACTTTACCGAAAGAACCAAGAATACAGTGTATTGAATCCCCGGGCGGGCGGGCGGGTTTATCATCGCGTGACGCTTCTGCCCGCACAGGTTTGACGTGGAAAAGGGCTTCTGGTGTCACGTGCTCCCGGACGGCAAGCGGCAGTGCCTGGGCACCGGCAAGGGCAGGAGATACCCCGAGATGGAGCCGCGGGTGAGAGAGGGACACGTGGGAGTGTATGCCGCTGTGCCGTGGTGTGGCTGGCGTGCGGGCCTTCGTCAGGGCTCGCTCGTCAGCGTTTGCCCCCCCCCCCCCCCCAAACGGTCTGGTAAAGGCTATATGGGGGCCCTTTGTCTTGTGTGTCTGTTGAACTTCTTCTGCACCGTACTGAGCCAACCGTGCTAATCGGGGGTTTGGTGTTGTTAGGCACACCACCCCATCGTCTGCCATGCCAGCTTTCTAACAGCACTTGTGCTCGCAGCCAATTATGATAAAATGCGACCGCTGTTTGTAGTGAACATCCGTTGCGCGGGTGTGCTTCCTTGTCCTCGCCGTAGAGGGAAGGCCTCCTGCGTTAAACGTGGCTCCGAGTGGCAGCTGATGACCTGTCATCATCTGATGACGTGTCATCATATGATGACGTGTCATCATATGATGACGTGTCATCATCAGAGCTCTCTTCTGACCGCCGCTCAGAAAATCTAAACCTCAAGTGCTGATCGCTTTTAATTGCGACCGACGGCGTAAAGAGCTCAATACATTATAATTACAGAATAATTAACGCTTTGTCTCGGCACGCTACGCATGCAACAAATAAATAAACGTTCCTGACAAACGCTGAAACGTGGCAGCGTTTTGTTACCTGGCTGTTCCCTGCTGATGAGCCACAGAACGCCGAAGCCGGCTAAGGATTTTTTTTACTGTTTCAACGAATAGTCCAACGAAGCCTGTTTTTTTTGTTTCTCTTTTATAAGCCTGTTTCTATTTTTAGGCAACTAATAACAGAGCCCTGTTCAACAAACCATTATTGTTTCTGCATTGGCAGTGGCGTACAATCACATGGAACAAAAAGACTCAACACATTCGCCAATAGCACTAAAGAGGATTTTTATTATTATTATAATAATAATAGGTGATGTTTTGTGGAATGTTCCTTTGTCATAGCGGAGTTAAACCTAGCCGAGTTATGTTACACTTTTGCGAGCACAATGGCCATGGTGAGTAGGCCAATACACGAGAAGAGTTCACGTTGTCGCTGTGTGCTACAGGGGACAGTGAGTTGTGTGCACGGTCGAGTCACGAATTTGAACAAAGTAACTCTACATCACGCGTATACTTGAGTTTTTTATAAAATACCTCCCCCGATGTATTTTCGGGTTCCACCCGAACGCCTCGTTCCTTGAAGCGCCTGACATGTGGGGCGGAAACGTCGGACGTCGTGACGAGCAACGTCCCCGCGGTACGACCCGAAAGCACGCCGGGTGGCCGGAAGGCGCAGCCCCGAAAACCTCCGCAGTGTAATCAACGACCCTATCTGTGCGCAATCCGAATACGGTTTCAACGATCGTTTCAATAATGCAGATTATTTAATCTTCGAGAAACGGATTGGCTTGCATGGGGAGAGGGGGGTGAGAGGGATGGAAGGTCCTGACAAATTATTGCTTTTTACGAGGGGTTTTTTTTTTCATCGCTGACTCAGAGCGTGGTGCCATCGTCCGTTTATATTTATTTTTATTTGTCTGCTTCCCAACGTCGTTGTCGGCACTGGGAGTATTTTTTTATATACTAGTGTCTTCAGCCTAATGGGCCTTTGCCTGTTCCCTCAAGCCTCATTGCTTGCTGCAGATGCTGCCCATAATGGTTCTTTGCCCTTTTCAGCCGACATAAAATGTAAACCCATTGCCCCGTACATCTCCACCCACCCACCCTCCTCCTCCCTCTCCTCCCATGGCCGCGCTCTCTCCTCCTCTCCCACCCTCCTCCCCGGAGAGAGTTACAGACCTGTCGTTTGGGAATGCGCGTGACGCAGACTGCATTAGGCTGTCTCTGCCGTGAGGCCAAATGAGTGGTCCCTCATTCTTACGGTTATGGATGCGTTTCTCCTCCAGCAGGGCAGACATCGGGTGGGTCGTTGTTATTATTACCGTCCTACTAATTCGGGTGGCGTATTGGTTGAGCGCGCGCCGGATTGGGGATCCTCCACCTCAAGTGCCTCTGTGCACGCAGCAGCAGTATTAACGGGTTAGGTCGCGTCTGATGGGGTAAAGTGTGTGGATATTTCCAAGGTGTCTGGCCGGTTTGGAAGAGTAGGCCAGATACCACTCTAGAGCTCCCTCATAGTGTAGGCCCTTCCCAGGGCAGTGGCGTTAGCAAGAAATTGCAGGGCTTTACCTCTTACTAGCTATGGGTCGTTCGATAAAAGCCACTTGAATGAGATATCACAGAACTCTGGATGTCCCTTCAAGTGAGCTGCTATCCACGCGCCAGGGGGTTACTGTACTTTCCCACACGCCCTCCTTTGGGGCTGCTCGTGCCAAGGCAGTCGAAGCAAATTTTTTTCGCACTTTCGTAATTTCATAGTTGAGAAACCAAAATTGAATGTGAAGGCTTGTCCAAGAAAATCGTTCGTGACCATGCTGAGACGACCATCAGCTCGCTTGACTTGAGAAGGCGGGTTAACCACAGGTAGTGAGTGAGCCTCGTTGGGTCTCAAGTGATTTGCAAGTGTTGGGTCATGAGCATTGTGCCCCCCTCCCCCCTACCGATGTGGGTTCGTGCAGGACTTGCACTGATCCAGTGCTCCTCTTGCTATTGTGCCAAGTGGCCTGCGGTCAGAGCCATTGTAGGACTCGCCGCGAGCTGTCCTTTCATTCCGTGAAACTGCTTCTCCCATCCCCGAACCGCCTTAAAAATAATAACAACAAGACCTATTCTGGGAAGAGTAAATAATGCTATTCAAAGTTGACAAGGTCGCGTTTATGACGCTCGCAAGCGAAACCGTTCGTAACGGTGCGTTTGCAATGTTGTTTTGTTTGGTGATGGATTCGGGTTTTTGTTCGGTAATTCAGAATCGCCGATTGTTGGTTTTTTTTGCCTCCTGGCAGTCATCTCACGTCTGGACGGTGTTATGTTGTTAATGTTCAATCGAGTTTGGCTATAGATTAAGGGTTGTGGGCTCGACTTAAGATAGATGGGGAGAAGCTTTAGCGTGAATTTAAATAAACGTGAGATGCTTTTTTACGAACTCGGCGACCAGAATTTGATTGCCGCTCATGACCAATACTATTTGAGCTGGGTTCTGCGCCTCCCCGAGGTTGACTTAGCCTTACATAAGTGCTTGGGGCTCTGTGTTAAATAAAATAAAAACATTGACACTGGGGAGACAAAGGTGGCTGGGCGTGGTGTTGGCCATCCACCCCCTTCGTGTGCCTTGCCAGTCGCATCGGAGCCCACTCAAAGTACTTGTCTCTTAAGGCTATAAGGGGGATCTTTGTCTTTGGAGAATATTTTTTGTTTAAACGTCAACTTGATAATGCAAATGTAAGTAGCAATAATTTCCTGAGATTTACTTCGGCCGTATTGAGTTCCAATATTTAACGTCGGCTATTGGCCTTGCAAAGCCTCGCTGAATTCTCAAAACTGTTCCTTCAGGAGGGTCCGGCTACCTTGGGATATATGGGCCAAATTCTTGATTAAGATTTGTTTTTTGAATGTGGAAGGAAACTGAAATAACCCACAGAAAACTCACGCTGACCAGCATCGTCTAGTATGATTAAACACGGGAATATCTCCATTCAGCAGTGGATTGACAAAGGGCTGTGATGTTACCACTATTATTGTTATTGTTCAGGTTGTGTTATTTTAACAGCACTAATGTGTTTATAACGGGAAGGGTAGCTCAGTGATCACAGCACTCACAGTTTTCTGGTTAACAAAGATGCCGGTGGTAGACTTAGCCAGCCTATCATGCCTCCAGGGATCAATGTCGTTTGTACCGCTTTACGGGAAGCCAATGGTGGTCATCCTGTCGCGAATCTGGTCGCCGCCATGGGAATGTGGAATTTCCACCACTGGCTCTCAGGGTTACCAGTCGAGAGGAGTGCTCCAACCCAATGTACATTTGAACAGGGATACACATCTATTTTTTAAATTAAATAATTATATTTTTTTTATCTTCTTGGTTATTTCGGTAAAGTCACGTAGAAGGGAAATAATAAAATAAAAAATAAAACATAATAAAATAATTCTTACGACGTCAGAAAGACAGTGTCATTTCAGACGCTGTCTTTCTGACGTCGTGAGAATTATTTTATTATGTTTTATTTTTATTATTTTATTATTTCCCTTCTACGTGACTTTACCGAAAGAACCAAGAAGTTGAATCCCTGCAGTCACGAAAGCTTTAAGTCGAAATTTATGTTTTATACCTTTAAAGAGCGATATTGCACTTGTTACTCTGGTCTTTGTTCCGATATGCAGCAAAAGCAGCAATTATAAAAATTGTATATTACATTTTTTAAATATACATTCGGCTCCATGTAGAATGATTTCGCCATTGTTATGGAGAGAGCAAGCACACCGGCTCATGTAACACAACGCAGAAGTACCGTGCGTCACAATCGCGAGTATTGAGTCGAGATTAACGGCACACCGATAAGCCTACGGCAATAAAGATAGATTTATTACTTCTATCATTATCGTTTTCTTTTATTAAACAGCTCTTATCAAAGTCGCACACCCTACGATTATTGCACTTGTGCAGTCTCTGACGTTAAAATGTGGTTATCAACAGAGAGGTGGGATGCTGGTGCTAATGCTTCGCACGCCAGACTTTTAAATGCAGAGGTCACCAGTCTCATTGTGCTGCTCAGACTCGAAGATGACAAACACTGAACACGTTCAGTCAATGACGACACTGCCCTTTGGAGGAAAACTGCACAAGGGCGCCATGGTGGCGAGATGTTAACTGCCTCCCCTAGCACACAGGAGGTCGTGGGTTCGATCCTGACCCTCACGCCTGTATATTTGGAGTGTGCGTGTTCTCCCCATGGTCGCGTGGATTTTTCTCCGCGTACTCCGGTTTTTGCCCTCCATATTTTTGATTCGACACCACGCCTTTAGAGTATTGAGGTGTTGTCAATTTGCACGCGATAAGCCATTTCGTTGCGTTATCATTTGTGGCCAGGTCGCTTACGAAAAAATCGCTAAATGATCCTCATGGCGGTTCCCCGGGGTCCCAAATAATACAAAATGGCCGAGGCAATTAAATATTTTATTTCTGGGACACTATTTTTTTCCGGGGTGTATGTAACTCCGCGGCTGGGGTACCAATCAATCCGAAATCAGTGCCACTCCGCGATGAAACCCTGAACGCTCGTACGCACCGTGGTGGTGCATCGTAGTGTACAGCTCGTCGAGATGAGTCGATTGCCGCATCGCCGACCATCAACAGACTAAAGATGACTGCGTCACGGACAGTGTGCGAGAGCCGGGGTACTATGGTACCCTGGGGTCCCGCCATAAGGTTCATATATAGCTTAGTCGGCCCTACCTGGTAAAATATAAAAACAATAGTTTCGTTTTATCATGGGACCTTTTTGCTAGGATCAAAGTATGAAAATTAAGAATAGGCTTTACCCTTTCTGGCAATGAAACAGATGTTTACACCAAATAGAAATCTTTGGAAAAAAATCAAGTCTGCATGAACCACACACTTGCGGTGAACATTCAAACAATTCCTTGCAACAGCTATATATGGGGGTGTTTGAACATCGTAACACCTGTTTTATTGCCAGAAAGGTTAAAAACCTATTCTTATTTTTCACAATTTAGTTTTTAGGTTATCGACGTGACTTTCAGAGGTTACCTGTCCACGGATCGATGCTGCCACCACGTGGCGAGTCCTGTCATCGTTTCCATTTATTAGGTATAGCCCTGTGAGCCATTCGGCTCTTGAATCGGGTGCAGCCGCAACAAACAAAAAACAAAAACATGAACAAGAAAACATCTTTAAGTGACTATGTGACTAAGTGCAAACAGAAAATCCAGGAAAAGACAGCAAAATATTCCAGAAAAAGCACCGTACACCAACGCTGTGTGCAAAAACCCCAGTGGGATGCAAATCAAACAACAACCACAAGACAACTTAGATTAAGGCCATCAATTTAACTCCGTACTACAACAAACAAACATGGCCAAACCAAAAATCTTTTCGAAATCACCAAAATAAAGCCATAAAAGCAATGTAACAGTGATCATAGGAACTGTTACTGAATTTTCACAATAAACGACAAACATGTACCACTAAACCCTGCAGCCATAGCTGGCTGCATGAGTCACTCCACAACAGCAGGAGCATCAATCGGAGATCAAAAATTTTCAATGCACCTTTAAGATCAGCACACTAAATCAAAACACAAGATCATACTTTGCAGCGGTCATCCAGAGCGAAACTTTTTATTTTAGGCCACTGAATAGCAGTGGCAGCTAGGGGTGTACAACTCCTCTAGAGCAGTTTTGAGTGAAGATCTCATAGGTAGTGATTCAAGTTGCAGTTTATCGTAACACCACCCCGTGCAAGAAAGCAGCCCCCATCCCTCCTCGCGCACTGCTTCCGAGTCTTATTCATTCCACGGCAGTCAAACTTTTAGAGTTTGCTCTCGATTTTTCGCCGGACGCAGCCGGCCAATACGTCGCACCGACTAATGACCACGAAGTGCCGCATACAAGAAGAAGGTTGATAACAAAAATATATAAACTGCTTTAGCCCAACTGGCAATAAAACAGGAGGTCTTTAGATGTTCTAAACTTAACTACTTTTCAATTGCAACACAAGCAATCATCATCAGGTGTGAAACCCTGATGATGATTGCTTGTATTGCAATTGAAACGTTGTGAGAATTTAATTGTTTTATTTTTATTATTTTATTATTTCCCTTCTACGTGACTTTACCGAAAAAAACAATAATATGAATCCCTGCAGTCACCAAGGTTTTAAATTGAAATTTAAACTACTTTTATTTTACCAGGTAAGGCCCACTGAGCTGTACAGCTTTTTTTTCAGAAGCGACCTGGCCCAAAACGATAGCTCAACGAAGTGGCTTATCGTGTGGAAATTAAAAGCAGCCAAATGCTCTAAACGCTTGTTTCTAAATGTGGAGGGAAAAACCGGAGGACCCGGAGAAAAATCACTCGACCACGGGGAGAGAGACACGCAAACTCCAATTATACAGCAGGCGTCGGGGTCGGGAATGAACCCACGATCTCCTGTATACCAGGCGATGTAGTTAACATCTCACTACTCCCGCGGCGCCCCTTACAAACACCAAGTAGATACCTATTACAAAGCATAAAATCTGCATTTACCACACATACTTGTGGTAAAACATGCAAACAAATATGCTGTGATGGTGTATGCAACTCTGTCCATTGGCCCTTGTCTCACTGGTGCTAGAGACTATCGGCTGCCAATAAGCAAACATTACGAGGAGGATGGAAATGCCGAAGCATTGATAGCTCGAATTAAGCAGCTATATCTTGTAATGTGCCTTGTAATAGGTGTCTTTCGGGTTTGAACGTCTTCACGCCACCTGTATTATTTCCAGAAAGGGTAAACCCCTTTTTCTTTATTATCTTCTTGATTCTGTCAACAACGGTCCCACATAGATATAGCTGCTCGAGGCTTGACCGACTTGGGTGTCTCAGTGAATCTGGGTTTTGTGTAATGTGTTCGCCCACAGAGATGTGATGAAATGTCAACATTGACGGTCTTTAGTAGGTCAAAAAAATGTATTTCGTCTCATTCAATTCTGCCTGCTTTGTTTTACCACTTATTTTTTCAGTCGCGCTTGCAATGTTGTCAGCGAGTCCGTCGAGAGCGCATGTAACGGTAGCGTCCAACTTGCATGTCATTTGCATAAATCAGAAAGGATGGAATTCATCACTCTAGTCGTAGCGTTTATCAAGAGAATGTGACGAGCCGACGTTAATCGATGATTCGATGCGTCCTTGCACGGTTATGATATCATCATCATTACCAAGACTTCCAAGTCTGTTATAACAAGCAGCTCGGAATGTGAATTCCTCATGCATGTTTCTCTTAATCGTGCGCGCGTGTGTCCCCGTCTCGTCCCCTTCTCTTCCCCTTCTGCTCCCCGCATCGGCCACCACCTCCCGTGCCGGATGCTTCAGTCACGGGAGTTCCTCTCGGACTACTACAGAGAGCAGAACGCGGAGCTGCTGAAGCTGCTCAGCCGCCTGCGCTACCCGCTGCCCACGTGGCTGCGCGACGAACTGCCGCCTCCGAGGCCTCGCCCGGACCCCCACAAGAACAGATAGCAGCGAAAACGCCCCCCGCACTTCCGCGCCGATGGTTCGGTTCGCACTGCGCGCCTCTGAGCCGGGCCTGGCCCATTGCCGCTGAGCAGGGGTGGCGGGGGGGGGTGTGTGCGGGGGGCGTGGGGGGCGCCGCCAGCTGGCGCCGTCGTTATTTGCACAGTTACTTTTTTTTCCTTCCCCCTTTTGACAGTGGATGTCGTCGCTTCTCGTCTGCGGCGGCCGAGTTGGCCGCGTGTGTTTTGATCTTTCGGTTTGGAAAGATTGGGATTTCCTTGGGCGATCCCTTCGTTGTACATTGTCGGCGTTGGCGCAAACCGGAGTACCCAGAGAAAACCCATCCGGCACGACGAGACCACAAGCTGAAAAGTGCATTGAGATAAGTCCGCTGGTTCATACTCCACATCGCTGCGACATCATGTTGGAGTGGCGGTACGCCAGCGTCACTGGAACATCAAGACCTGGAGGATGGTCCGCTGTTCACGCCGCTGCACCTCACCGTCGCTCTTCCCTCTGCCAGATTCCCGCCTGCTTGGCGGGCTGCAGGTCGCCGACCCTCTGGCTGCCGCTCCAAAGCGCGTCTCGGTGTCTCGCGCCTCCTTCCATCCGGCGCGCTCGTTCCACTCGTCGGTGAAACCCTCTCCCGCCCCGCCGCGTCGTCTTTCCGAACGTCCACGCTTATTTTTTTGCGCCCTGGAACGGTCAACGCGAAGTGTCGACTGGACGACTCCACAGCGACCGTTGGGGATAAACGTCGCGAACTGCCTCTCGCTCGCTCGCACGAGGTCGCAAGAGGCTCGTGGGGCCCAAGCCAAGGTACCCCGATGGGACAATGCAATATTCCAGTGCGGCCTCGTTGAAGGCATTGGCTTCCTCTTCTCATCTCAGCTGTGAATATGTGAATATTTCTTGTTTGCCGAGTCGACCTCGTTCTCGATTGTCGTGGTCTCGAAGCCGTGAATGTGATGGCTGGAGCATTCGGATTTAGCGACGGCTGCGTTCAAGGACCACAGACGGTTGCACTTGACAACAATTGTTTCCGACAGGTGTACATAGAGGCCCCCTCTTCGATGTAAATATGTGCATAGTTGTGCAGACCATGGTGCAAAGGTCATAAAAGGCGATTGTAAATGCTGACGTGCTGTGTTTATTTGATGTCAGGGTTTTATTCTGGTAGCTACACAAATGTCCGGGTTCAAGCCTTTGAAGCCACTACTTTTTTACAGCTGAATGTGAAGTCGTAGAAAGTGTCTCGGTTTGTCACTGATTACTACACACACACAACTGTTGCTATTAAACGTCGGGTTGTGTTTAATTGTGCTGTAGTCCTTTGAATTATCCACCCAGGGGAAGCCTCAGTGAGTCCCTCCATGCTCTTATGATCAAGAGGGCCCTGCATTTGGGATGTTTGGCCAGTTTATTTTTGAGCGTACATTAGCAAGTATAGAATGAGTCGGCCAGAATTGCTTTGGAACATCCACAATATTACAAGAAGATGACGTTCGAACTCGACTACAGAGATTGAGCATCGTCCCTCTCTTCTGTTGTATCATTATATACTCCACTGCCCCACACAAACAGGGCTCTTAATGAAATTGACTGTGACACTTTTGTAAATCACCCAACCGCATCGGGATTTATTTCGGCAGCATTTATAGCAAAATTGCAAAGGTGCTCACTGCCCACATCAGCGTGCGGTGGCGGTGTGTCGTATTTAGTGCTCCGTTGCAAGTGCGTTTGGTCAGAATTGTCCTTTTTTTCACATAAGCTTCATATCCATAATAGAGGTTTTATTTTTTGGGTTATATCTCGTCAACATAAATGTGTCGTTCAACCCGCCACCACCCGACACTACTTCAGCGCACCGGTGTGGTGGAGAGTAAACCCACTACAGCATTGACGATTCTAGCACCGTGATGTTTCGCCGGTGATTACAACCAGCCTGCATCAGGCGACAGCCACAATTGTGGAGAAACCCTCCTGTTTCGGTCTTAAATAGAGGGATAATTGAATTTTAAAAAAGCTCTTATGGATAATATTGGTCGCGAAAGCTTAGTGTCAAACTGACGAGCCTCTATGGGGGAGGATACTTTTTTCCCATATATTTTTCTTTCTAATTTTCATTTAAGTTTCTTTCTTATCCCCTGCAGTTGAATTAATCATCCATTCGAATCCCACTCGAGTACATTTCAGATTTTTAAAAACCTGAAAAAAACCGGCCAGCCCAACGTAAACGGAAGTGAACGGTTTAGCGGCGTTGCAAAAGGGGACGGGCATTGCTTGCGGCAGGCATGAGCCCGCCAGTAAATGACGCGGGGACGATTGAGCGAGTGGAATCGGGCAGCTGAGTTTGTGTGCAAATTAGCTGAGCGGCGTTCGAGCCAAGCACGGGGGGGGGGGGGGGGGTCACTCCGCATTGCGCGCGGTGATTTGGCGGAATTGTAACTCTAAAAACTCACCCCACGTGTGGAAAAAGGGGTCGCTGTGAAAATCAATGTACTCGTGATAAGGCAACGGACTTTGAGTCTCTCCCGCTCAGTTTTGTTTTTATATTTTGCCTTGTGGGAGCAGTGACGTGAAGCTGGCCAACTGGTGTGTGTGCATCACAGGCCACCACTGTCGCCACCCTTCTGGCTTGTGCTCACAAGTTTATATACACAAGTTTTCTCTTTTTCATCATCATCGGCTAAAAAAATAAAAATGGGGTGCTTTTATAAAAAAAAATACGAAAAACTCAACTTACCTTTCAAATTTTTTATCGAAGCAAACACCTTAACATTTCATTTTTAATATTTTAATGTAAAGTTATTTAAAGAGATCATCTCTATACAAGATTTGTTTTCAAATCTGAAACACGGTATCCATTATATTTTATTAACACACAAGGTGCAAAACAAGAATCGGTTTCAAATGAACATATTTTTCGATGTATTTACAAGCTAAATGGTTGTAGCATTTCAGAATCACTGCTCATGTTCAGCTGCTTTGTCAATCCACTGGTCGACTAAGGCCTCGCCATGCCATGCCCGGTCATGGGGAGAGTTTGACCATACCTCACCGCACTGGTTAATGCGGGTTGGTGAACAGCTGAGATCCAAGGGATCGATTCAAATATTGCCAGCCGTGGCCAGACATCTATCATGCTAATCGCTGCCCTGTCGTTTTTCCTTATGCGATGCTCGAATGTTCCACGCTTTGCGTTGAGTTCTAGCAGCGATGCCATCACAAAAAAATCCTCAAAAATGTGTTCCGCCACATTGTTTCAAAGTCATAAGAATAGCAACAACAAATATCTAAATTATTGCGATCCTTAATTTACCCAGGAAAGCCTCGCCGAGGCTTAAGACTTTATTTCGGGCTCTGCGTTGTGACGGATCCTTAATTGGCGTTGCAGAACCAGGCTGTCCACTCTTCCCATCGCCGATCCCCACCCTTGCGATCTGTGCCCCCGCTACTCGCCCGCCTGTGTGGGAGAGCACACGGTCTCGTGCCACCCTGCCGTATTTATCTGGCTCCAGTGTACATCTACCCCCCCCCCGTGCCCCCAATGTGTTTTTAACGTTCCGTCGTGGGACAATAAGTATCGTGGTGCAATTTCCTTTTTTTTTAGCACTGACTTTTTGTATATTTAGAATCGATGCAATCTGTGTATATGAGCATTTCATTATTTCTTGGGCAAAGGGAAATAACGCTTGGCGGCAGCTGGAAATGTTTTCGTTGTCGATGAAAAAAAATGTTGGTTCGGTTTCAGTTCTCTGCTGAACCACGACTGTGGTTTTGTCATCGAGGTTAGGCATCTTGTGCACGCCTTGATATCAGCATAAAGTAAACCTGTATACCGAAAGCAACAATAGTATTATAACGCACATTTGCAAGAGCCGAGAGGGCGGCCATTTTCACGGAACACAAACGGGACGAAAAAGGAACGGACTAAATTATTACGCGAACACATTCAGCGGTGTAAATAAAAAAAATAAAGCGATCGCGCAGCACCTGACGTTGTTATTTAACACACGTTGGCCCAGCGGCCGGTTTGTTAGTTGCCTGTGTTGTGAGCGCGGCAGCTTCGGAGCGCCAGGTGGGTTCCCAGAACCAGTCTTATCTGTACAGAACCCCTCTTTCCACCGGCACATCCGAGCCGTGCCAGCTCGGCACCTCGCGCGGCCCGGCCACGGGCGTGGGTCCTCTCTCTGTTGCGCAGTGGAAAAAAGTGTGGTCCGTGTTCCCATGGCCGCGGGCTACACCGCACCCCGGTTCGTTTTGTCCGGACTCCCGCTTTGGTGGTGGTGGTGGTGGCGGCGCTGTTGTTGTTGTCTTCGTGGTTGCTCGTGATGCTCGCCCCGAGGGGTGACTCTTTCGTGTTTCAAGATGTGCCAAGTGTGCTCAAGTTCACGCAGCCAGTTGCTCGCCGGCACCGCCGCTTAGGGGGGGGTGCATTAGCGATGTTGGAGAGAGGGGGGTGACTTAAACATTTTAATTTGCCTGTGATTATGGATTACTCCGGGTCGTAGTTGGATCGTGACATAATCCCTCCCGTTTTTGGTGCTTGGAAAAGTGATGTTAAGTTATTACTTAAGTGACGGTTTTATTCAAATTAGCATGCGTTAGGTCGACTTAATTTTCAAAATGCTGACACTGTTATGATTGCAGGCTTTGTACGTCATGTTCTCGCATTTAGCCAAGCTGCTGACAACCTTAATTTGCCTTATTGTTTTGTTAATTATTTTGAGTTGTATATTCTTTTTTTATGAACAGAATAACAAAAAGTAATCAATTGGCGTACGCTAAATATAAGTAATCTGATTTAGAACTGAAATAGTTTAAGGATATGCCTTTAGTAATCTGATTATAGTGATGGATTACTTGAAATATGACTTGCCAACTGGGTGTGTACCTTAAGGGAAGCGGTAGTGTAGCGGTTAGCGCGCTGCGCTACGAACCCGGTGACCCGAGTTCGATTCCCGCTCATGGCCAACACCGGTGACAATTATCTGAACCTGTCCTGGGCCTCCCCTAGGTTGACTCGGCCTCAAATGAGTAACCTGGTGCGGTGTGTAAACATCGCCACCGGGGAGACAAAGGAGGCCGGGCGTGGTGCTGGCCACCCACTCCCTCGCGTGCCGTGCCGGCCTTAATAGGTGCTCGCTAACTGAACTTGCCCCAACAGTCTGTTATGGCCATATAAATGTAAAAAAGAGAAAAATTCACAAAAAACATTCACAGGCCTGACCGTGGGTCCCCCCCCCCCCCCCTTTGCAAAGTAATGTGGTCAAAATCTGATTGAACAAAGAACATCCGCTTATCGATTTAAAATATCTCTTGCAAATGTTAATCTCATTTAAAATTCCAAACGCATTTTTCCAATTCAAATCCCATTAATTTGCCATTCAATTTCTGCGATGATGCCATGCAATCGTATACAGCTGTGCGTGTACGCATAGCTGCGTGCACATACCCTGTCGTCTCCTTTTAAAAAAAAAATTCGTTGGGTTGCTTCACATCAGAGGCTGCCCCTTGTTTTGTCGCTAACGCACACAGTTTACAAAACTCGGGACTTTAAGGCACGCGTCAGTCGAAGCATCATCCGCATGCAGCTTCAGTGTCACGTTGGAGCGAGGGCAAACTTCGTTACTGAGAAGTCAACTAAAGTTGTTCGGCAACAGCTGTGGTTTCAGAGCTAAGGACCCGTCTACGCCATAGCACACGAGTTACGTCTTAATTAAATCCATACCGCCAAAGGTCTTGACATGTATAGTATATATACGCCGGCTGTGAGACAGTGGATGGAAGTTACAGTCCCGTAGTCAGGGTTGGTTGCTGTAAAATATTACAGATTTTTTTTTCCCAACCCAGGGTGTGGGGTGGGGGACGATTGGTGAGGTTCGCCCTCAATGGGAATTTGAATAACTAAAATAAACAATTATACATGGCACTTGGTGTTTGTGAAAGGATTTAGGGAAAAAGAAAAAAAACATGTGTTTATGCATGGGGTCTAATACAGTTTTGTATTAAAGGGTTTTCATCCGATTACGACATACATCCTGTAACGGCTGCTAAAATATAGATGGTGCAAATTGATCAAATTGATCAAATTGATGAAATTGATCAAATTGCTCGCAAGTTGCTTCATTGAGAGAGCCACATCACCACTACCCCACCACCACCTCCACCACCAGCACCACCAGCACCACCAGCACCACCTCCACCAGCACCACCACCAGCACCACCAGCACCACCACCTCCACCAGCAGCAGCCCACGACTGATGTCCACTTGCTGGCCAGTGCTGTGGCTACAACCATGCCTTGTGCCACACACAGGGGCAGCTGCCACAGGGGGTCCCCTGCCACATCAGGGCATTTGTGAGATGCACTGCATGGAAAGGCGCGGTGTCAATGTTAATGGTATGATGCTGCTGCCGATCATGATAATGCTGATGATGATGCTGATGATGCTGATGATGCTGATGATAACATTAACACCGCATCGTCCCGCGGTCGACGAATCCGCTGCCGCCGTCGCACGAAATCCCGATGAGAATCTCAAGAGAACGGAGCGGCAACACTTGGCACATGTTTGTCAACACGCCGAGACGCACAGTGGATGCTTTTTTTGTTCTTTCTTTTATTTCTTCATCTTGCCTAGAAGTCTAGCGTTAGTGTTAAGTCTCTTAACACTGTCACGGCCATTCATATTGAATGAGTTAGAGATGTAGAGAAGGAGTTTCATTTTCTGGGTGAAAGCCAGGACTTTATATAAACTGCTTTGTTTATAACTACAGGGTTTTTTGGGGGGGGGAATGATGTCTGTGCTTGATTAATATTGTAACGAAAAGCCTTGTAGCATTTTATTTTTAAAATATTAATCTCTTATGTTGCCGTACTGGATGTTATGTTTTACTCGAGTCTCAGTCATTACCAAGGTGAACGGTTGGAAATAATTTGAATCGGTTGTTACACTTGGATCTTTAACAAAAATGGTTTTTAAAACAATCGTGATGTTTTCGTATCTGCAATTTATCGTCTCGTATCTCATCATTCGTAATGGTAATGGAAGACGGTCCACATGTGATGGCTAAAACAATCTCATTGTTACGAAACAATTTCCAAGGATACTTTTTTTATCCAACTGGTTATAGTATTTTTGTCAATAAAAACTAAAGTGGGTACCGTATTCTTTGAATTAAAAGACACCCTTTTCTCCCCTGTATTTTAAAACAAAAGTTGCGGGCAAGACCAGATATTCGTACCTTTATTGACACTGGCCACATGTTTGAGATGCCCCCTTATTTTCTAGGGCGTCTCGTAATCTGGAGAATGCGGTAACTTAATCAAGCTCTGTAAAAAAAAAGTGTTGTAAGAATGTTGTCGTCACTGTCATTGCCTTTTAAATTGCCAGTCGAGTGAACGTGGCCCTGTTACCGCGAAACAAATGAACAATTAATAAAATATCACGACACTGTGACTTTAGTGCTCATTTTAAGTCCGGCGTTGATTGAGGGTCACAGAAGCCAGCGTTTGATTGGCTGTGACGAGGCGAGTGCGCGCGACCTTCCACGTCATCTTCCCCTCTTGTTTCAGTCTCAAACGTCGTTTGTGGCCATGCAACCGTTAAGTTGTTGTGTTTTTTTAAACAGTTTTCGTAAACTAGAAGTGCAATGTCATACCGACACGAATTTTGACTGATGAACTGAAATGTGTAACTTCAAAGGAAACGTGTCCGGTGCAAAGCAAAGAAAAAAAATATTGTATTTAATTCCACGTGTAAATGTTAGTTTCGAAGTCTTAATATATTTATAGCATTACATGAATTAGTAACCACAATGATGCTGTAAATTACGTAATAAGTCTTAAACATAACCAGTAAAAAGAATGGCTTCCAATGTGTCTGACTGTACAACGAATATAAGTCAAATCGTGCTAAATTGTACAATTAACAACCTTTCCGTGATGTGAGTAAAATGATGAGCTCAAGTAAAGTAAAAAAAAACGAACAACACAATGTTTACATACGTGTTTCATGTTTCCTTGTCATCGGCTTTCGCGCCTCCGTAGTAGAAAGTCACGCTCCCGGGAACTTTGGCGATCAATTCAAATTTCAATCGATCTCACTTTCGAAAGATCCCTTTTATAATCCCCCCGCCCCAGCCAAAGTTGCTTTGCGCGCTACCAAAGACGTCCTCGGTTATGTTTTTGTTACCGAGCCATATCACCTGATAGGACTCCCTTTTACAAACCTTTGCCATATTAAGTACTTCACCGTTGCCAAGACAAAAACAAATGCGAATTGGCCTTATTCTGCCAAACCGCTTAATTTAACAATATATATTGTACCGTATTAGCGTTCATCCCTTAATGCGCGCATTGCGTTGTGGGTGGTGTACTCCGACGCGCTCAGACCGTCCCAACGACAGTGCAACCCCCGCCTGTTACAAAACATCACAATCCTTGTGCCGTCTCCGTGCATGAATGGAACCCCCCCTTTAATTCACGGCTCCCAGCTTTGTTTTGCGAGTTCTCGTTGGCTTAAGATGCCATGCACACTTGTCAAAGTTGCATCTTAGGCCAAAGCACACAAACGCTGTAAATACACTAAAGGCCTCCCAAACAGCCTGAACAGACTTTTGGGGGCAAGCACTGTTAGCAACGCATTTTGTCTTAAGATGCAACTGCTATGGTTACGTGGCATCTTAAGTCGTACACACACACACGCGCGCGCGCTCACTTTACGGGGTTCCAGGGCTTTGGATGACGAATTCCCTTTGCCGTCATTCGAGGCTGGGCTGTGCGGGGAAACGAATTCCTTGGCGTCCTTTGGCTTCGGCACATGTGGAGTGACGGCTGGCACGTGTCAAGAGGCAAAACGCTGCCACTTGGTGAGAGTTCGTAAGCGGCGAGTCGCTGTCGAATCACGCGTGGTCCTCCAAGTCCACCTGGTAGAAAAAAAGGCTTTTCGTTGCAATTCAGTTGTAAAAGCATTGTGAACAAACTGCATGGTTTTCGCTAATTTGCTAGTCTGTGAAGATACTAAACAATAAATATAGCATTAACGAAACGTCACTCGTGTGTTTGTGTTTCCTTTCAAAACCCCGTATCTCGAACCGTGCACACCCGCGGTTATGACACGCGCGATTATGAAATGTTGGGTATTTTATCAACAAAATGAGAGCTGGAGGACAAACACGATGTGGAGAAAGAAGACTTCAGCCATGAGTGGCACCGCATTCCCAGGATTATAGTACATCTTGAAAGTAAGTTGTGCTCCAAACTTGTAGCCTGGTGTGAAGTTAAACAAATCTGGTCTCTCCCCCACTCACCAGATTATTAGATGCACCCCCAACTTTTTCTGATTTATACGGCAAGTCACTAATCTTAGCTTTATCTACTTCCACCCCCTGCATCACAAAGCTTCAGTTTGAGCTCCATGCGTTGCCTCCCAGCGCCCTCCCCGTTCCTCACATCGTTGCCTCCCAGTCCACAGCCCGCGCACACTCACCATGGCTCCCCCTCCCTCCATCCCCCGCGACTATATAATTCCTCGTCACAGCCATCTCTTAGACACACTTAAGCGGTTGTGGCGCTTTCGCTACGTTGTCCCCACCTGAAGGACGCTTGTGTTGCGCCCGAAACATCGTGATTTAATTCAGTTGTTTTCATTTATTTTATTAGATTCTTTACCTACGTGACTTTTCCGAAAAAAAAAACAGTATGAATCCTTGCAGTCACGAAAGCTTCAAATCTAGAATCAAATTTAGAAGTCACTAATACTCCGGGCTCCGTGACCATTGAACAACATCCTGTGCACGGGCACTCCATGACGACTTTTAAAATCGATGAAGAGGGGACCCCACCAGCATGACGTGACCCCTCCGCCATCAATTCTTCAGAGCTAAAATGTTCCTTCAGCCGTGGCGGCTTCAGAAATGTTTTCTCTTCCGCCACGCCTGCAAAAGGAGCAAAGTTGAAACGTCAAACAGGAGGGGGAACCGAAGTCCGTCCGTGGGAGATGAAGGTACGGCCGTGCGAAAACACAACACGTACATTGTTGAAGGGAATCAACACGGATAAGTGTGCCTTAAAGTCCAGAGAACACTCCAGTGTTCTTCATTGCAAGGCCCACAGGTCACTGTCGGCCCCTGGTGACCTGTAGTGCGTCCCCCGACGATGCACAGGTGAAAACCCAATTATGTTAAACGTGTGGCGGCTCTCACTGACTGTCTTACTCAGACCCCCCCTCAAATATGACGTCACAAAGCTCTGCCCCCCCCCCCCAAACAAAAAACTGCTTCAAATCGCTTTAAACTATTTTTATTGTCGTGCGAATTTAATGTGCCGCTGCACTCTGATGTTGTAGGAGAAAACATTTATTAAATTCTATTTAATTAAGTAGAACGTGTTTATATTTCTTTAAAGTTGCGCAATTTTGATGTGACGTCACATTTCTCAACCCCCCCACCTCGTCACACATCGTCACAAATGTCTGACCCCTCCCCCCCCCCTAGGTGCGTGACGTCATTTATGGACGGCCCCATAACGGCGAAAGTTCCCGCCCCCCGTCTGAAAATTAGTGAACACTGTAATACTCCAGTTGTGATAAAACACACAAGCACACAGTTTGAGAAATGTTTAATTTTATTTCATAAAGTAATTTGATACATTTCCTAAACAGGTTGGAGGAAAACGGCTCAACACATCTCTACGATAACAAACCAACGGAGAAATGAAACAGGGTTTTACACGTTATCATTTTGTATAAAACGATCAAAGTAAAGTCAGGTGGAGGTAACGGAGACTATCCCTCTCGTGGGTCCATTCCGTTCCGCACACAACCACTCGCTTGCCTAAACTGATTTTCTGCACACACAAACAAAGCATGGAACCTTTACCAGTTTGTTTACAAAGTAGAAATATACAAGAAAAAAAAGCAATACACATAGGAATGTTATAAACACTGCAAGACTAAAAAATAATGAAACATTAAACACAATTACTCAATGAATAAGCAAGAATTTTTTTTTTCTAATTTTTTTTTCACAATTATTTTAACGTTTCGGCAATTATATTTTTATTATATGAAGAATTATCACCCACTTCCACTCATAGCTGCTTAATATTTTTCAAAAAAATAACACTTTGTACTTTAAGGGAGAAAATAACAATTTGTTGCAATACAAATTCTTTCCCCGCAATTGTTGTTAGTTTTGTGGAGAAGTTTTTGAATTTTTTTTTTAGAAAGTAACGAAACGGCAGTTGTAAATCCTGTGGTATAAGTTGTCATAACTGTCTCACCCTTCAAAGAAAAAAAACACAATCATTACGCGTCCTTTCACACCCGATATTTTATACGTGCCACCTGATTTCATGTCAGTCACCAATGGCCACCGTGAGGAAAGGAGACACGATCATTGTGTTACCTTGCTTAGGGCTCGGCAATAAACCCTTAAGGGGGTTTTACACGGCCAAAAGCAGGCGATCCTGCCGAACACACGTATATAACCCAACAAAAACGTGGTAACGGAATCAAATCGTCACCACACCTAAACAGCAACACCCAAAAATAAATGCATCGTCAGCATGCGTTCAGAAAAGGGGAGGAAAAGACGACACAAATCCGAAATCGTTAAAACGATGATACAAAAATATCGACTTAATGTTTTTACGAACATCTCCCATGCTCAACTCCTTGTAAGTCACGGTTTCTTCCGAGTCGTTGTTATTTCTTGTGTCCTCTTCGTCCTTCCTCGCGTGGGAAAATAAAGCACCTTGCGTCGTTCTTGTTGTTAATACGTAACGGGCCGGGGCACGGTTTGCAAGGCGTGGAAAGAGGAACTCTCTCTCCACCTCCACCTCACCCCCAGCCATTCGCGGCCGTGGTTAGAATCGAGGTTACAAACACAAATGCTACCCCCCCACTTCTGCCCGACAACACAAAAACACACCGACTCAATCGTTGGCCGTCTCGACACCGGCGGGGAGACGGAGAGAGAGAGAGAGTTCCAGTTTACTTTAACCACCTGCGCGGTTCCTGACGCCAATTTTGACATTTCTCAGTGAGCCAGTGCGTGTGGGCCCCCTTTGCCAGTTCAAACGGATCGCGCGCAGGCTCCTTCAGCTGTGGATACGAGCAGGGGGTGCGCGCGAACAGTGTTTCGATGAGAAATGCCTCGAATGAAAAGTAAACAAGAAAAAAAAAGACGCAGATATAAACGCGTCCGCTCAGAAGGTCATTTGCTCCTACGTACTGAGAATTGCGTAAATTAACGATACGCGGGAGAGTGGGGGGAATTGTTGCTAACAAAGCCACGTGGTCAAATTTAAATGGAGTTTTCACGCGTTTGAACACAATCCTCAGTATGCACACAAACACAACAACACTCGCGTTGTGTGCATCGGATAGGGGTGTAACGATGCATCAACTCCCCCGACTGTCATTGATTCTAAGGCTCGAGATACGTGTAACAAATCGCTTGTAGAATCGACACTTGGCAATTCATGCGCTCTACGCAGTGAGATGGAATCCACCCCAGCAAGCTACGAGAGGTGCTACCATTCACCGAAACAAAGTTGAGAGTAGTTCCTTGCTCAAATTGCAAAGATTCTCCATCAAATTGCGACCTTGAATCACAAGCAATGATGCAATGACAAGGCGTCTTAAGTTATGTGAAACTGTTCGCATTACATTTATCTCTTAACAGTTGAGCAAATTTTGTTTTAAATGCCGAGTTTTAGGGTCCCCAATCTGTAAAGAGAAACACACGAGGGCTATACTAGCACAACTGGTGGCGACCTCCATAAGTCACCTCGCTCGCAAGAAATAATAATCTTCCTTTCTCAATCACTGCATCCTGAATACAATTAAGGACCTGCAAAAATACCTCTCCTGGACTCGAGAGGGATACATTTTCTAAAGCTGGTGTATCTGTATAATGCCGACTTAGATAAAAAAAAAACATTTTAATTCGAGAATAAAATCTATATTTGTAAAGGGCCGGGTTGGGTCACATCAAGGTGAGGCAAGGACACGGTCGAAGTGAATCCAACACGAGGAGGCGGCGGCGGGGCAAGCAGCCGCCAAGAAAAAGCAGAGGGGACGGGAGGAGAGATTTGGCGGGAAAGGAGTCGTGAAAAGGAACTTTCTAGAACCACTTCGGGGGGGACAGGGGTTTGTGACGTGTGACCGGGGAGTTCCGACGGGAAGGCTGCTGACGAGCGCCTGTGTGTTGTAGTGTGAGGAACTCCAATCAGTCGGCCTCAAACGAGCACCTGGTGCAAGTGTGCAGTAAACAGGCAGACCGGGTGTGCCGTGCCGGCCGACATTACTGCTCGCTAACAGCACTTTCCCCAGCAGTCTGTTAAAGGCGATACACGGGGGATATTTTGTCTTAGGAACTCCAATAAAGTTCTTCCCTGAAGTTTGCCTCAAGTGAACTCCGTTTCGCAACTCAAACCCAGTGGCACTTAAAACGATCGTGCACGCGTGCCATGAAAAGTCATCTCTATATAGACACCCTTCCTTTTCAAGCTGCGTTATTGACGGATGTGTTGAGTTGTTTTTTTTGTGTGCGTGCCTCGTGTGAAGCTGCTACGGACAGAGGAGGGTTCCGTTTCCGCAAGAGGACGCTGCAATTACACAAGACGCGCACTTTTTTTGTTTTTACAGCCTCACACAAGACAACGGCCCAGTCACTAACACACTTCACGAATAGCACGTGGTGGCCACGACACAACGACCCGGGCTGCAAAATCAGCCGAACATTTCACCGGTGCGCAACCTGTTATTGCAGCGCCTTAAGCTTTCAAAGCAACTGAACCTCTCTGCTTGTCACATGAGGAGGAATATTCCGACCCAATGTAGCACACTGTCGCTACACACCTGAAAATGCACTTTGTCACTGTAATCATGAGGTCTTGTGTGGTGTGAAGCCGACTGTCCTGTTCTATAACCTCCTTCAAGTACCATAATGTATGGTACAGCCGAGTAGAATCGAGTCTGCAAATTAGAATTAGATGTGCGAGCAATTCACTCAGTGGTGATTTAAAAGTAATGGTCACGATTCCACACGACAATATTGTTTTTGCCTCGTAGGTTACTGTCCGTTTTCTCGGTTGTCACCTCATCTCGTAGTGGTTACGTGTTCCGTACGGTCTCGTCCGTCGTGATGTGTACCGTCCGTCGTTTTCTTCAGTATCGTTCAGTCGTCACTCTTCGCCGAAAGGCTCACGAGCACGTTATCTGGATATAATTTGCATACTTCGCAAAATAATCTCTTCTCAGAATACGCGAGTCGACACACCATGGTGGGGGGGGGGGGGGGTACAAGCTGATTTTAAACGGGGACCAGGTCATTCATCACTTGCCTCTGCTGCCCACTGATGGCATTGCTCTGGGTTTTGCCGCCCGCACGACGCTGGCCTCGCGGTTCAAATTAAAAGCGTGGGATGTTGAAAGGCTGCTGCGAATTTGAGAAAAAGAGAACTCTCTTTTCGTGTCATCTCCAGCAAGTTAAGATGCAGAAACCACCTCGGGTCATGTGCTTTTCAAACGGACAATCCCATTTTTTTCCTTCAATATATTAATTAGTATTGTGTTGTCTTGTTTTTCATCCTGGTTTGTTTGGGTTTGGTATCGATCTTGTCCGAATCACGTACAACAACAAATAATCCGGCACGCGTATGTGCCATGTACAATTATGATGGTTCCGCAAGAAGCATTCAATATGCAATGTACGAAATGGCACGTTTGTGATGTTACATTTGGTGCTTTAAAAGATCATGCAGCAATTAACTTTAGCCGTGATGTAACCAACACACGTTTACCCAATGTGTATACACAAACCATTCTTAGTTCATACCAATTTTAAAGAAATCCTGCCTCTGAAAACTAAATTTGATCCCCTACACCTAATCACAACTTCATATCGTAGTGACATTCACTACATGTACTTGCCTGTGGCCTGACAATCATTGATTTCCATGTCAGTCCATGGACGTTGAGCATTTTAACATAAAACATATCAGTCAGCAAAGCACACTGCTAAATATAGCCAGGAATTGGCTGCAAACGGGGAAATATTCAGACCAAAATGTAGCATGTAATATATTTTTACCCATTCATATTTTATAGAATTTTTTAATCTTGGGAATCACGAATAGCCACTCGACATTAAAACCAGGCTGTCACGTGCAAACCGATATCATTTGCAGGATCGGCAAGAGCAAATTGTATGGAATGTCAGACGGGACCAAGAGTGATGTATGGTTACAGCCTGCGATGTCGGGTCATTTCTGACCACGCCGAGTGGTTCTGTGGAGCAAGTTGGGTACGTAGTTGGCTCCGAATCAGACCACGCTTCGACGTGTAACAAAATGCCAATTGCGCAATGTGTACATCAATTTGGTGACCGAAAATATTGTGGAGAATGGGAAATGTCACGTTTGAAGACCATCCACGTTATCCGGAAAAACACACCAACTCCAGGAATGTTCCATTTTAGCCGCGGCTGCTGCCTATGTTTTCGCGGGTTGTGCCGTATCGAACTCCGGCGTGTTTTCGGGTCGTACCGCGTGTTTTATCAGGCACGATGACTGGGACGCTCATCTCCAACGTGCTGAAACGTCGGACATCATGCCGTGCAAAACACGCAGTACGAACACGAAGACACATCGGAAAGCCGAGCGGTGGGTTAAACTAAACAGGCAGTAGGACCACACCAAACCAGAGCAAGGCCAAACCTGGAACTACAGAGGAGAAATGCCATTTAAAGAAATAATCAACGTGCACGTGCCAAGCAGAGCTACGTGCGCGATAACAAAATTAGCAAACGGAAAACGAGTTAATGGGTCAATAGGTGTCGGAGCAATGTCTGCTCCCAATCAACATTTGTTAAAAAAAAAAGGTGGGCATGAGCAAAATAAAACGAATTTGCAGAGGAAACTTTCTGCCTCATTCATTTGTTCAAACACAATCCGACGATACAGCGTGCAATTGCAACTGCTTGACCTACGGATTTTTGTCGTCAAGCGACGGACATGACTGAACTTTCGGTGTAGTTACCGGAGAGGGTGGTGACCACCTCGTGCCTCATTACCAGCAACACTCCACCTCCCAACGTGTGTTTAAATATAAACCCACGTAGGTAAGGAACTTAAAACACTGAGGGGACCATGGCCGTGGGGAGCTGGGGGCTGGGATCTCTGCCCCCCACCCACCCCGAGGGGGAGAGGGGAGCCTCTCCGCCTAGATGTATACATTAAATTAATGCGTACGCAAACAACAATATATGCATGAGTAGAGTTCCCTGAGTGCTGGGCAATGGAATGGCGTTCTCACGTCAATGTTTGGAGCGTGAATAACTAACTTCCGTGTTGATCTCATCATCGACCACAATCTGACGAGACAGCGTGTAATTGCAATGAAGCTCTTGACGTAGGGATTTTTGTATCGTGGTGATGAGCATCTGGTTCAGTTATCACTACCACCCACCACATCAGGTGTGGCTAAATATAAACCCTTTTGGGGTTTTCTATCTCCAGTATACGAGGGCAAACAGCAGTCACCCTTGAAACTTGCTTCTTGTCAAGGGCGCTGGCAAACGTGAGCAGAAAAGATGTATTTGATGTCCTTTGCTGAGACGGTCTGTTCCATTTTAAAAACTAATCACAAAACGGAGCTGCGTATGGAAACTCGTATATGTATTTAAATCATCGATACAAATTAAAACCTGGATCTGGAGATATATATGTGCTGGGTTTCTTCTTGTATTTAATAAAACCCATAAATGGTAAAATTGTTATCATTCAGAATTAATTTAAATTCTGACAACCTTCATACTTACAAAAATGTTTCGTATATGTCTTTTTGTTACTGGTACTTCACGGGGATTTACGAGCTGAACTCAGCCAAAGCGAGCCACCCGACAGCAGACGGATGATTTAAACGTCACAAAAATATACGCTGTGTCATTCCCGAATGGACACAGCGCACCACTCTTCACTACCGCGCACTCAAATACAGCGGTCGAAACTCAGGATGTTTGCCTGAACCTTGTTTACAACCATGACGGCGTGCCGCCGACATCTGGGTTCGTATGAAAAACTTTGTTTAAAAAGACGCTACACCTGCAAGCGTTGATAACAAACTACAATGGGTTATGAGTCTTTGTAAACAAAGTGTCATGCTAATGATTGGAAAAACGGGACCCCCACCACTTTTTTTGGCTGGGAAGATGAACATTTTTTTTAATTTTCTTACACAAATTGTGAATGCGTAAACTTGTTGACAAAACAAAGCAAGCCACGTGCGTTTCTCACTCGCTAGAGAATATACTTTGCATCCACGACGGTGGACCTGTCGAGGTGGAATCATCGCTTCAAACTCTAAACTCACGAATGGAAGGTCATGAGCGACCTAGCCTAGTCAGGGGTCAACTCAGCCCGTCGCACCTCCTCTGTGGCCGAAATAATCTAGACCACTTTCTGGAATTGACAAAAAGTTGAGGGTCCCTTGATAAAGACTGGTCTCTTGACATGGAAACATGTAATTTCCACAGCTGGTTGAGGACCACCGATGAACATGTGTGTCGTCTCACACGAACATGTATGCCACCTCATGCCAGCTAGTATGGGCAGTGGGAACACCTGTGACTTGACTTTGAATGATGATATGCAGAGTTTGGGTGAGTATACCGCAAGTTACAGGCTCTATACACAACCTGGTAGTTTTTATTGCATTTTGTACTTCTGCCGAAGGGTCTGAGCAACAATCCAATTGAATAACCACGCTGGCTAAGCTTCATAATTACAAACACAAATCAAAGAAAACAAAATCACAATACTCGAGGCCATGGACGTGTATTGGAAGAAACAACGAACGAAGAAAAAAAATATATACGCCAATTTGCAGTGAGCTCGTCCAAACACCGCTACCCTCGGCAAACAAACTGCACGGAGGGTGGGGGGGAAGAGGACAGCATCAGGATTACACAGACAGACCTGGTAAGGATTATGAAACAGAGCAGGTAGCCAAGACGTTGGACGGACTCACAAGGGAGACAACTCCCGGAGACGGGAGGCAGACGGGTGGTGGGCGTCAGGCGGGGCAGCGGCGCCCCTTGGCTGCCGGGCTCGGCAACGGGGGACAGGAGTCGTCGCGGGCGAGAACGTGCCATTAGCACGCGGACGTGCAGATCGACGTGCAGATCGGCGCGCAGATCGGCGCGCGGCCGGGGGCAGCGACGCAATGCCGGCGCGCATCTCGGCCCGTTCCGTCGACCGGACCCGCCGCACGGGGGCAGACGGTGTTGGTGTTTTTGGGCTTGCGAGGGGGGGTGGTGGGGGGGGCGGACAGACCGCAGCCGCCAGTCTGACCGTAAAGCCGTCACATCAGTGCAGCGCACGCCACCTGCGTTAGTCCTGACCGCAATTCGCCGAGCGTCGATGCGTTTGCTTGGCGGGCGCCAGGCAGGAAAGGCGATCTTGGGAATCCATCTTAACACATCAAGGGGGCGGCACCAGTCTAAGGTGACAACCGATGAAGATGGTGGCTGGTAGCAGATGAAAGGGGTGGCAGTGCATGACGTGTAGGTGGCAGCTGTTGCTGAATGTGGGTGGCACTGAATGAAAGGGGGCAACACTGCGACAAAGGGCAGCGCTGCACGAAAGGGGCAGCACAACTGAGTAAAGGAAGGTGGGGGGAGGGGGGGGGGAGGAGTAGCGGTACTGGATGAAGCCAATACTGCCAGGAATTATTGACAGCGGCCCACAGTCCCGCAGGGAGCAGCATTAGACGCAGACCGGAGCGACGGGGGGTGCCCGTCACGCAGTGTACGTGGCCATCTCGGCGAAGATGCGCTGCCACAGCTCCTTCTTGCAGTACTTGGAGCGGCGCAGGCCCTGCAGCACCTCGTTGAACTGCACCATGCCGACGGGCGTGAGGCAGAAGGCGGCCCTCGCGCTGCAGATGAGGCTCACAAAGTCGTCGTAGTCCGCCGGGCTGATGTGGTACAAGCGATGCTCGATGCACTGCACAAAGACAAAAGCAAAGATCCCCCATGTAGCCTTTAACAGACTGCTAGCAATCACCTATGGCGTCTGGCATGGCACACGAGAGGGTGGTGATGTTGCACGCAGTGAATGAGTTATGAGCACAACCCCCCCCCACCACGTCTGGCCCTGCTTGTCCCCAAGCCAGAGTTAGATGCCTTATTAGGCCAGCATATCACTCTCTGGTTCCGGCTTGGCACAGCAAATCGCCAGTGGAAAACCAACCATGCTGTAAGGGCCTTGTGCTGGCTGGGCTGGGCTATGCCAGCGCCACAGTGGCGAAACAGGAGGTCGAGGGATCGATCCCAATCCCTGATGCCTCTATATTTGGAGTTTAAATGTCTCTCCCCTGTGGTTGCGTAGATTTTTATCTGGGTCCTCCAGTTTTTCCCTCCACATTTAGAAATGTGAGTGTTTGGCGGCTATACATTTCCACACGTGATAAGCCACTTCGTTGAGCTATCATTTGTGGCCGGGTCGCTTCTGAAAAATTAGCTACATAGCTCAGTGGGGGCTTTATCTGGTGAGATAAAAAAAAAATTGTTCAAAAAGTTTGAAAAGGGGGCACTGAAGCCTATGAAGGGGATCCGTGTCTTTGGTGATGCACGGGTTGGCGGCCCCCACCGCACCTGTCTGTACGTCTGCTGGCAGCGCTGAACGAGCTGGCTGAGCGCGGGCGAGCGCAGGTGCCCGTGCAAGTTGGCCGGGTTCTGCCTGGACAGGTGCTGCACGGCTTCCAGGATCAGCTCCTGCAGCACGAACGGACTCAGGAGGCCCTTGGCGGCGCCCATGCAGAACTGGTGCACGTGGCTGATGCCTGTGGGGCCGGGGGGCACGGTGGTGGGGGGGGGGGACACACAGACGGCACAAGGGTTAAAGAGCGGACGACGGCCGGCAACAGCTCTGTGCAGCACGCAAGCGCACCCCGCGTTACAATCTAGGACTCCAGGATGACTGTGGTTGTGGTCAATGCTGCGATTGTCATTTTTGTCAAGGAGGTCACGTTTCCAGAGAAATCGTGAATTTAAAAGAGGCAAAATGAAATCTTTGCATCTCGGCTGTGAATTTTTTTGAACGTGCCTTGCCCGTCAATTTTGCTTAAAATTACCGTGCCAAAATCGTAGCCTTCGCCACCATCGATTGACAAGGTTACGGATCATTCAGCAGTCAACATATGAATGAGTAAAAAAATTGTCGAGAATTGTAAACAGCTTATACTGCTTCCTACCCCCCTGCCTCCCCCTTGGATAAAGAGCACTTTAAAATTTCGCGAAAACGTTCATAAGATTTAACCCTGTTGTACGGTATTGCTCATGACACGCATTCATAATATTGAACAATCCCTTGCAGAACAATCCTAGAATTTCTACAAAGCCAAAGTGTCTTTCTGTTTAAGCAAGCATGGGTTCACACCCGTACATATACCCTACATGCCCACAATACTGTTGACAGAATGAAAGTGCTAAATTCCTCTTCATATGCAAATTCCTTTGTCAATGCGCCCTTCCCCCCCTCTAACCCAGCTTAAATATACGCTGCCAAGCCTGGTGGTGCTCATTCAGACGCTGTCTTTCAGACAGACCTGTTCTTCACCTGAGGACGGCTGCTTGCGTTGTGGCCGAAACGTCCTGAGAATTGTATTTAATTTTTTATTATTTTATTATTTCCCTTCTACGTGACTTTACCGAAAGAACCAAGAAGATGAATCCCTGCAGTCACGAAAGCTTTAAATCGAAATGCAAATAAGTTGTTATTATTGAATCACTTCGGGTGTGACAATAATGACAATTCACTAACTCGTCGAGCGGATCAATCGTTACATCTGCTATTCTATGTTATAACTCTGGATATACATTTGTGTATCTATGTTGAACTTCGTTCGCACCGCACGTAGCCAGCCGTGCTCATCCGGGGTACGAAATCGGACAGATCGATATACAAAATTAAATCAAAACCCACACAGACGATCAGGGCAAGAGCTAATCTTTGATCGGAACACGCTGCGATTCACGCGCGGTCAGTTGGCACGATCGCCGTGTGAACCGTCAGTTGCACCCCCTTAACCCCGACCATTGGATCTTGCTTGATCTGCCCTGGCTTCGTGTGCGAGTGAGCGTGCGCGCGTGTGTGTGTGTGTGGAGGGGGGTTTGGAGGGGGAGGGAGCAGAGGGAGGCGCGCGGTAGGGAGGAGCGTGGGGCAGGCGTACCGAGTTTGACGGCGAGGCCAAGCAGCCACTTGACGTCCTCTGTGTAGGGTGGGCTGCGCGAGAAGATGTTGTTGGGGTGGTCGTTGTGCGCTCGCCGTCCCAGCATCCCCAGCGCAAGCATCCCTGAGCAGACGCAGACAGACGCAGGCAGACGCAGACAGACGCAGGCAGACTCGCACGATGCCAACTACGCCCCGCCCGCTCCCCCCATTTAGTTTCGTAGGCAACAAAAAGACAAGAGGCTTTACACCCTTTCCGGCAAAAATACAGGAGGTGCTAAGATGATCAAACACCAAATAGACACCGATAGCGAGGCATCAAGTCGGCATTAACCACACACGCTTGCGGTAAAACGTGCAAACAAACGTGCTTTGACAGTGTACGCATTGTCTTTGAAAATTATCGGCCTACTGCATGTCCCACCACCAGCGTTAAACTCTAGAATGCCAAAAGGCAGACAGCACAACGGCAATGCAAATATCAAAGTATAAATAGCTCGGATTGTTTAACACGTAGGCTTTCGTGACCAATATCATCCAGCTTTATCTTCACACTTGTATTATTGCTTGAAAGGGTAAAGCCTATTCGTTATTCATAATCGTGATACCATATATGTCGGCTATATTTGCAAGTGATTTAGCACAGAAGGTGACGGGGCCACCAGTGGCAATGTCCACGCACAACGCCAGGTGCTCTTTGAGCCCCAGGACAGGTTCAGATACCACTCGTGACTGGCGTCATCATGGACAAGAATCGGATTACTGGAACTGTATCAGGCTGTACTAGCCACCACAGCACCACTCCCCATCATAAAGTCAAAGATCTCCTGGATAGCCTAGCAAGGCCGTTGGGGAAAGTGCTGTTAGCGTGCTCCTATGAAGCCAGGCATGGCACACGAAGGGGTGGTTTGTTAAGCATCATGCTCAGCCGACGTTATTTCGCCGAGTGCTACCCACACTCGGTACTCATTTAAGTACGAGTTGTTCAATGGGAGAGGCTCACGACAGCTGCGGACACCATCCTCCTACGTGGCCAGGAATCAACTGGGGTTGACGGGTTCATAGTGCAGCGCAAGAACTATTACCCACTGCAGCAGCAATCCCCATTCAACATAAACACGCACATTCACCGTGGCCACCCTCGCTCACCGACTCTGTAGGCGGACAGTAGGTGGAGCAGGCCTTGAGGGCTGACCACCTGCTGCTGCTGTTGCTGCTGCTGCTGCTGCTCGTCACCCGCCAGCGTCTGCGTTCCAGCGGGGGGTGCCTGTGGCGGGGGGGCGGCTTGCGACACTGGCGGCAGCGTCTGCAGGGTCGGCCCGGAGAGCAGCTGGAAGGACGGCCCAGTCTGCACGGCTCCAAACGCCACTGTCGACGGGAGACGAGCGTTTGGGGTTAGCCCGCGCGCACGTGCGTGCGGCCTGTGCGCGATGTTCCTCGCGGCGAGTAAACGATTCATTTCGATTAATCTTGTGCTCACGATCCCAGCCATGCGTGTTAGAAAGGATTACATACGATCTGTGATTTGATGACGGCATCGCCACACCGTGCAGGTGGTCACTGACATGGATGGTTGATCCGACTTCATCACGTGGATCAGTGCAAGTTGGTGAAAGGGAGTGGGGCGATTACAGGACCAGTTCAGACACAACCCGCCACTGATGTTAGCCGTAACCCAGAACTCAAAACTCAGGGCCCAGGGCTCATTGCTTAGCGTGCTAACCATTGCACCACCGCTCCGCCTCCAACAGTCATTTACATGGTGGCTTATGTTTGTAAACATCGTGCACAGATGGTGTATGTGTCAGCAATCAAAGTGTACAGGGCGCTTTAAGTTAGTATTCAGTGTATATTTTGGTATATGCCATCGTAAAATTATTGGTTTAGCCAGTAGTACATGTGATGGCATACGTGCGAGTAAGGTTTGGTGTTAAGTGTTAGCGAGCATCGTGATATCCACAAGGGTGTGTCTGGTGTAAGAGGGGAGCGGTGGTGTAGCGGTTAGCGCGCTGCGCTACGAATCCGGCGACCAGAGTTCGATTCCCGCTCACAGCCAACACCAGTGATGATTATCCGAACCGATCCTGGGCCTCCCGTATGTCGACTCAGCCTAAAATGAGTACCTGGTGTAGTACCTGGTGTAGTGTGTCAACATCACCACCAGGGAGACAAATGCGGCCGGGCGTGGTGCTGGCCACCCACCCCTTCGTGTGCCATGCCGGCCTTCATCGGTACTACTCGCTAACAGCACTTGCCCCAACAGTCTGTTTAGGCTCTACGGGGGCTCCGTGTCTTTTGTGTGAGTGTCAGCGGTGACCCAGGCGTCTCCTTGCCGGGCGTCAGCTGCAGCCCGGCGTCAGGCTGGTAGGCGTGGTGCACCGCCACCTGCGGCACCGTCTGCATGGCCACACCGGGCAGGGGCATGGGAGGCGTGGGCAGGGATGGGTGGGGCCCCCCAGCCCCCGTGTACTGGTATTGCGCCGGCAGGAACGCTGGGTGGATTCCCTGGAGAACAACAAAAACGACAACAAGAATGTCTCTATCCACAATCATCATTTCAAAATAACGGGGGAAAAAAACAACGCATGGTCAGTCCGCGGGAGAGTTAAAATTAGCGACGCGACGTTTTTGAAGCGGCACAGCAAGACATCACATGGCGCATGCGATGCGTGAAGTTGCACGATGGTGTCACGAGGAATGATGTCATCTGGAGGGAGCGCACAACGTGTGACATCATTGCCGGGAAGGAAAATCCTTTTGGCGACGGTCTTTTGTCACCAAGTGTTGGGCAACTGCCGCACCTCCGATTAGCCCGGTTGGCTACGGATGGTGCGAAAGAAGTTGAACATACATACAACCCTGCGCAATATGCCCAGTTTTCTGTCGGGTAATTCCCCAACAGCCATGCGGCTTTGGACTAAAATTGTATTTACTTTTGGATCGCCTCTATGAGAGTTATCATGGGCCTCCCATACCTCCGATTAGCATGATTGACTACGTACCGTGCAAAAGAAGTTCAACATACATACAAAAGACAGACTGCTGTGACAGGGAGAAGATCATGCGGACTTGCCAGACGATGGTATCCATGTTACCTGAGGGTACCCAGGTGTGGGGGGCGGCTGGAAGATGGCTGCCACATGCTGGATGGCGTGCCGATGGCCCACGTACTGCGCCGTCGGGTACATGGGCAGATGGTGGTGGTGGTGATGCGCCACCGCGATGGCCGTGGGTCCCGGCTGCGGCCCTGGCGCAGGCAAGGCTGCGTACGACGCAAACGCGGCCTGCTGCTGCTGCTGTTGCTGCTGCTGTTGCTGCTGCTGGTGCTGCTGCTGCTGGTGATGGTGCTGCTGCTGTTGCTGCTGCTGGTGCATAACCGCGCCAGCTCGCTGCACGGTGGTCACGTGCCCGCCCGGCTGCGCCTGGTACAGAGCCTGCACGGCCTGCGAGGGCGCCACCACGGCGTGGCAGCGCGAGGACGGCGACGGGGAGACCACGGCGGCGGCGGACGAGGAGGAGGAAGAGGAGGGCGTCACGGCCGAGAAGGATACGGCGTGTGGGTTGCCACCACCCCTCTGCTGCTGCTGCTGCTGGTGGTGGTGGTGGCTGCCGGGCGAGTGCTCTCGATCCGCGTGGCGGTGCCCGTGTTCCGAGCCGCCGGCGCCGTCGCCACGCGCGTGCCCGCCCAGCGTCTGCTCGTACAGCCAGTGCCACTGGTGCGCAACGTCGAAGAGGACCTCCGGGTAGACGCCGCCTCCCTTGGCTGCCTCCTCGACGGCCACGCACGCCTTCTCCAGCATCTGCGAGTCCTGCGAGACGGAGCGGCGGGAGGGGAGAGGCGAGTGTTGGAGCGGCGTCCGTGAGCGACGGTACCGTGGGCCGTCGTCGACTTGGGTGTGGCGGCAAGACTCAGGCAGGTGGCGGCGAGAGAGAATGGGGCGATTGGAGTGATTGGGATGAGGAGGATGAGGGAGACACGGAGATTAGAGAGGCACAAATCTTTCTTCAGATTCGAGGAATCCGATGAGCTATGAAGCTCTTTTTCAAAGATGTCCAGTCGGAGAAACTAGATGGTTGGAGAGAGTGAGAGGCAGGAGACACAGAAAGAAAAGAGACAGGCACTGGATAGATTGGGGAAAAAAGGAAAGCTGAAGCAATGTCATACAGAGAGGAGAGAGTAATCGGGAGGAGTGAAACACCGGGAAACAGAAGACACTGCGTGGAAGGAAACACGAGGAGGTAGAGTTGAAGATGAGAAAAACCGTGAGAGGAACAGAGGACGAGGCAGTCGAACAGCATGGAGCAAGAGGGAGAACGGCGTCACCGGAAGAAAACAGACACGGAGACAAGGTGCGTGCGAGTGTGAAGGAGAAGAGACGCTCAGCATGAAGGGAGGCACAGGAAGATGGAACACTCACAGGGGTAGGTATGGAACACAGGGTAAGGTGTGGAATACGGGTAAGGTGATGAACACAGTGTAAGGTGTGAACACGGGGTAAGGTGTGTAACACAGGGTAAGGTGAGGAACACGGGGTAAGGTGTGTAACACAGGGTAAGGTGAGGAACACGGGGTAAGGTGTGGAACACGAGGTAAGGTGAGGAACACGGGGTAAGGTGTGTAACACAGGGTAAGGTGAGGAACACGGGGTAAGGTCAGGAACACGGGGTAAGGTGTGGAACACGGGGTAAGGTGAGGAACACGGGGTAAGGTGTGGAACACGGGGTAAGGTGTGGAACACGGGGTAAGGTGAGGAACACGAGGTAAGGTGAGGAACACGGGGTAAGGTGAGGAACACGGGGTAAGGTGTGGAACACGGGGTAAGGTGTGGAACACGGGGTAAGGTGAGGAACACGGGGTAAGGTGAGGAACACGGGGTAAGGTGTGGAACACGGGGTAAAATGTGGAACACGGGGTAAGCAGAGGATCACGGGGTAAGGTGAGGAACACGGGGTAGGGTGAGGAACACGGGGTAAGGTGAGGAACACGGGGTAGGGTGAGGAACACGGGGTAAGGTTAGGAACACGGGGTAGGGTGAGTAACACGGGGTAAGGTGAGGAACTCGGGGTAAGGTGAGGAACACGGGGTAAGGTGAGGAACACGGGGTAGGGTGAGGAACACGGGGTAAGGTGTGTAACACGGGGTAAGGTGTAGAACACGGGGGTAAGGTGAGGAACACGGGGTAGGGTGTGTAACACGGGGTAGGGTGAGGAACACGGGGTAAGGTGTGTAACACGGGGTAAGGTGAGGAACACGGGGTAAGGTGAGGGACACGGGATAAGGTTGAACACAGGGTAAGGTGTGTAACACGGGGTAAGGTGAGGAACACGGGGTAAGGTGAGTAACACGGGGTAAGGTGTGAACACGGGGTAAGGTGAGGAACACGGGGTAAGGTGAGGAACACGGGGTAAGGTGTGAACACGGGGTAAGGTGAGGAACACGGGGTAAGGTGAGGAACACGGGGTAAGGTGTGAACACGGGGTAAGGTGAGTAACACGGGGTACGGTGTAGAACACGGGGTAAGGTGAGGGACACGGGATAAGGTTGAACACAGGGTAAGGTGTGTAACACGGGGTAAGGTGAGGAACTCGGGGTAAGGTGAGGAACACGGGGTAAGGTGTGTAACACGGGGTAAGGTGTGAACACGGGGTAAGGTGTGAACACGGGGTAAGGTGAGGAACACGGGGTAAGGTGTGTAACACGGGGTAAGGTGTGTAACACGGGGTAAGGTGTGAACACGGGGTAAGGTGTGAACACGGGGTAAGGTGAGGAACACGGGGTAAGGTGTGAACACGGGGTAAGGTGAGTAACACGGGGTACGGTGTAGAACACGGGGTAAGGTGAGGGACACGGGATAAGGTTGAACACAGGGTAAGGTGTGTAACACGGGGTAAGGTGAGGAACTCGGGGTAAGGTGAGGAACACGGGGTAAGGTGTGTAACACGGGGTAAGGTGTGAACACGGGGTAAGGTGTGAACACGGGGTAAGGTGAGGAACACGGGGTAAGGTGTGTAACACGGGGTAAGGTGTGTAACACGGGGTAAGGTGTGTAACACGGGGTAAGGTGTGAACACGGGGTAAGGTGAGGAACACGGGGTAAGGTGTGGAACACGGGGTAAGGTGTGGAACACGGGGTAAGGTGTGTAACACGGGGTAAGGTGAGGAACACGGGGTAAGGTGTGAACACGGGGTAAGGTGTGAACACGGGGTAAGGTGAGGAACACGGGGTAAGGTGTGAACACGGGGTAAGGTGTGAACACGGGGTAAGGTGAGGAACACGGGGTAAGGTGTGTAACACGGGGTAAGGTGAGGAACACAGGGTAAGGTGTGAACACGGGATAAGGTTGGACACAGGGGGAAGGTGTAAAACACAAGAGAGGTAGACGAAGCGGACGGCACAGCACAGCATGAGGGGGCGGCACTTGAGCGCCGCCCGTCCACACACGCATGGCACCTGCTCCTTGCACTGCAGCAGCGCGCGCTGGATCTCGTTGGGGTTGAGGGCGTGCGCGTGGGGCAGGCAGCTGAGCGCCAGCTCGGCGGCGGCGCGCACCATGTTGGGGTCGCGGGCGCGCGACGCCCGGTCGGCCAGCGAGGCCACCTCGGGCGGCGTCAGGTGACCATCCCAGCACTCCACCAGGATGTTGAGCGCCGCGCTGCCGATCTCCATCGCTTGGCCTGCTCCCGCGCGCACATACGGGCACACACGCACCGCACATCAACACGGACGCCTCTTGTTGTGTTTTTTTTTTAAACGTCACGTGTGCACGTTGCTTCAGTGGACCCAAGCTTGGGCGGTAGGTGAACAAATAATAATAATGACATTTATAACACGCCAGATTTTGCAGATAAGTCAACAACTGAGCTAAGCTCCGGGCTGCTCGAAAGCCTGACTAGACAGATAAAGGCCTTAAGATGTTTCTTCAAAGTCAAAGTGCATTTGATGTTGCGGATGTGAGAAGGGACAGAGTTCCACACCGACGGGACGACAGCAGAGAACCGAGGTGAGGCTTTAACAGTCGAGACATTCCCGTTCTTTTTTTCAAGACACCACGGACGTCAAAGTTGACTTGCAACGTTTTCTTACCTCCGTTTACCTCTGATTAGCACGGTTGACAACGTACGGTGCGAAAGAAGTTCAACAAACGTGCAGTGTTCCACCCTAACTCGAGGTCTATCCTTTGTCCGTCAACCTTCTGAGTGCCACTCCCAATGCCTGTGACAATTAAGTCGCCTTCCACCATGCGGAACAGCATCCCACCCCTCTTACCGATCACGCCAAGAACACTTTTCTGCAATGTCATATTCTAAACGTGCAATTTGCTTAGTCTATCTGGCCATTAAGTTCTTGGCATTCTCTGTTTGAGCCTAAATTGAAAAGCCAGGATCTTATTTTAAGTAATAATATGTTTTGCAACATTCATTAAGTGGCTGTCAATCAATGATAACTTCCCCATGTTCATTTGAGCATGAAGACAATTTCACTTTTCAGAGATGCAGCTTACCAATTTACAAAGTAGTCCCGTGTGGATAATAGGTTAATATGCCTTTGAAATCAATACACAACACTCTAAATTAAGGATGCTTCATTACATCACGCAAGTATGCCGTTTAATTAAATCTAAAGTCACTGTGCACTGCTTGGACCTGGCCCATCCAAACTCAGCGGGCCCATGCTCTGACAGTTTGACTGCTGCTGCTGCTGCTGCTAAGGCTGCTCAATTGTGAAAAGCGACCTTGCGAACACTGGGTTGCAGTACGTATATTAATTGGATTACAGGCATCACAGAGTTGTAGAGCCTCCAAGCGAAACATACGAAAATAAAGCAGCTGCGGATGCGTTCGTAATAGGACTTGGCACTGTAATATTAATTTAAATCGCTTGTCAACTGACACTTTGCATTAACGGAATACGAAATAAAAGTTTGTTTTTATTATTTATTTTGTCTCCTTCCTTGTTCTTTTAAAGTAACATCATGGAACGAAGCATCCAACCAGCAGTGCGCTTTACCACACACTCCTGCCGCATGGTAGGCAAATTGATGTTCACTCTCGGCAAAGCTGTAATACACCCAAATGTAGTAAAAAAACTAATTTGACAACATTGGTTTTGAAGTGCCGTCATTGGCGATTCAGGGCGCCGAAGACTTCCACTTCTGACGATGCCCACGGTCGCACGTGACGAAAGCTCGAGAGAAGATGTAGTGCCCGATACGCGGCCTAACCCCGACGGCCACGCTCGGTGCCACACGCCTGGAAGTGATCTCCCCCCAACCCCCCCCCCCCCACTATAAAAACACAAACCCACACCCGCGCGCGCGCTCGTTCGCAACGCGATCGTCGGACGAACCCGTGATCCAGGACACGTGGGAGGAGTAGGTGCGCGACAGCCAGTTTGGCGACACGAAGTTGTGCAGCCCCAGCGCGTAGAGGCCGATCTCGAAGGCCGACAGGTGCAGGTTGCGGTGGGGGCCCTGGTGGCCGCCGCTCGACGAGGGGTGCGTGAACAGCGACGTGCTGCTGTTGCCGCCGGCCTTCACGAGCACCGTCTTGGCCAGCTCGAAGTAGAAGTGGGCGGCCGCCTCCGAAGGCTGATTGGGCACGTGGGGTGCGTGGCACTCGGCCCGGCGGCCCTTGTAGCTGCGGGCGGGGCGAAAGTGGGGGTCAGAGAAGGTCTGGAAGGACCTCGGGGTTGGCGGGTCGCGCGGAGACGAGGCTCCGGATGTGCGTCGTGAAATAACCAACCCAACAGCACGGTTGGCTACGCACGGTGCCAAGGAAGTTCAACATACGCACATAACCGGGTAAGTGGCGGCACAGTATAGCGAGGAGGTCTCTGAACTATTTGTTTGTTAGTATGAAAGTGTTATTGCCATGGTGTGTGTTAATGTATCCTTCAAAATGGAAAAGACTCAGTAATTATAATCACCTGCCTAGCTACAGACATGCTCATCAACTTACCAATACCTAAACTTACCACTCATATGCAAACATCCATCCACCAACAGCTTCCCCATTGCAAACACGTACACATAACCCAACACCCAAACGTATTCATCTGAGAGCACTCAAAGATTCCCCCGTATAGCCTTAACAGACTGTTGTGGCAAGCGCTGTAAGCGAGCATCTATGAAGGCCGGCACAAGGGGGTGGATGGCCAGCACCACACAACGCCGCCTGTCTCCACCACACCAGGCACTTAAGGCCGAGTCAACCTAGGTGAGGCCAAGGACCAGTTCAGATAATAGTCACTCGTGTTGGCGGTGAGCGTAAATAGAACTCGTCGGTGTCATAGCGCAGCGCGCTAACCGCTACACTGCCGCTCCCCACAACAGCACTCGCACCCTCACAACAACACCCAAACTTGCTCTCAGAAGAACCCACACACCTGCCGCCTCCTCTCCACACACACACACACACACCAGGACCCCGGGGGGGGGAGGAGAGAGGGAGGCAGGTAGGCTCCCTCCTCACCGGATCATCTCCCCGGCCTTGCTGCGCCCACTAACGGCGGGACCCCCGCCGCCGACGCCGCCGCCGCCACCGACCCCGACGGCGGGGCCGAGGCTGCCGCTGGAGGAGGAGGAGCCGAGCGAGTCGCTCGAGCTGCTGCTGATGCTGTCGCTGTCCTGGCCCCGCGCCCACGACGTGCAGCCCCAGCCCCCGCGGGGCCCCGCGGGGCGGCGCGCCAGCGTCGGGGAGCTGTCCGACGTCGTCTCGGGCGCGCTGCTGTCGATGCTCGCCATTCCTGCGGGGCGGGGGGAGGGGTTGTGCGGTGGGTGGAGAGGTGGGCGGGGGGGGTGAGAAGGGATGAAGGTGGCAAGGAGTAGAGAGAAAATGGGGGATGAGACGAGGTAGAAGGAAAGGGAAGGAGGGTAGCGGGAGATGTGAGGGAGCGGGAGTGTGACGAGGTGAGAAGGGACAGAGGGAGGTGAGTGAGAAAGAGGGGAAATAGGCAGCGAGGAGGTAAGAATATCAGGAGTGAGGAGGCAGTTTAATAAGGCCTCTGAGAATTCTGTGAATCGTTGCGAACGTGGGATTTATTGCGTGCTTATATAATGATAATTATATTCATGATGATGCCGTGTAGACGACCTCTGGCTATAATTTGAACTCCCAAACCTGCCCACTTCAAGTGGAGCAACCGAGCGCACGGCTCCACCTCGCTCGTGACGAACTGCGAGCGGCGCAAGCCGGGAACGCAACGCACAAATCCGAGAGCCCTTGACCCCGTCGACTGTGCTGCTGCTCACCCGTGTGCTTCTTCTTGGGCCGGACGGGCGACCCCCACGAGCGTCCGTTGAAGACGCCGCGAGACCCGAGCAGCAGCCGGCCCGTCACCTTCCCCTCAGGCCGACCCGAGACCCCAGTCGCGTCCGTCGCCGTCCCTGCAGGCCCATCGGCCACGCCGCTACGCGGCTGGGCGCAGTCTGCAAAGTGACGAGAAAAGGACAAGGAGGCAGAGGGGGTTACGGGTCGGAGGAGGTAAGGGTTAGGGGTCGGCATTGCAGTCAAGAGTCAAAGTGCCCGACAAAATAGACGGGCGGTTGGCGGTGGAGTGAAGCGTAATTGTCAAATCGCACCTCCAATTATCACCGCTGGCTACGTACGGTGCGAAAGAAGTTCAACATAAATACACATCGGTTTCCGTGGCTGGGTTTGCCATCCTGAGATTCGTCCTATGGGGATGGAGTCTTCAGACCCTGCAGCTGGCGGTTGGCTCTGAACACACCTTGCTGTACAAGGCCCTCTTGGAACGTGTCGGAGGCGGCGGCAGTCCGCAGGGGCAGGGCGGCACTCCCAGCATTCCCGGCATTTCCCGGGTGGTTGCCGTGGCTACCCCCACTGTGGTGCAGCGAGGACGCCGATTGGCTGCCGTGCTTGGAGGGCGACTTCTGATTGGCAGGCTTGCCGCCAGACGAGTAGAACGAGCTGAGGGTCTGCGGCTTGTGCGTCGTGCTCTCGCGGTCCAGTAGCTTGTCCAGAATCTGGAAGCAATAAAAGAGAACTCGTCGGCTCGAGACTTCTCAATGTCACCATTCCACCATTCAGTGGCGACGGCGTGAAGCCCACGTTCTCGGCGGAGCTGGCCAAGTGCTTCCACACGGCCGAGTAAACCAACCGCATCCGCCCCCACGCGCACCTTCTTGAGCTTGGCCTGGTCGTCCTTGTAGGTGATGAGCAGCGCGAGGGCCAGGTCTCCCTTCTGCCTCCGCGTGCCCTCGCACAACAGCGGGTGCTCCGCCTCGCTCACTGTCGTCTTCAGGCCTGGGGGACGCGAGGGCCAACGAGGTTATTGTCCGTCGAGCCGTTTGTCTGTCTGACGAGACATCCATCTCTCTATCTGTCGATCTATACATGTGTCTATCAGGTTGTACATCTGTAAGTATTTATATTTTTCCTTGAGGATGTCTGTCTGGTCGCATCATGAGCACAGATGTATCAACTGCTGGAAAGAGGATTCCACATATCATTGCCATCCTTCACAGACATCATCATCCGTTCAGGAAATGCGTACTGCCCAAACGTAATTACTTTGCTTAACAGTCCACATGCACCCAATGTGCACGTGCGCTCTGAACCACGTGTTCCTCTTTCTGCCCCGCATTCTAAATCCGAGGACGCATCTCTCCATGCGCCTTTGTGTATTTGTCACATTGTCAGTTCCCGTGTCTCCGACCCGTATGTCACGGCTAACATAGACCGCACCACGCAGTGCCGACTATACAGGAGGGCGCATACCTAGAGCGGTGATGGCTGCTTCAAAGCCCAGCTCCTCGTCTCCCGGAAGCTGCGAGTTCCTGTTCCGGCTCGGAGGTCTCGACCCGGTGGATGAAACAACTACCACACAACAAAGACAAAGATCCCCCGTGTAGCCTTAACAGACTTTTGGGGCAAGTGCCCGTTTACAAATAGCATCTGTGAAGGCTGGCACGGCACACGAGGGGGCGGGTAGCCAGCACCACGCCCATCCGCCTTTGTCTCCCGAGGGGTGAAGTTTACACATCGCACCAGGTACTCATCTTGAAGCCGAGTCGACATAGGAGGGGCCCGGCACCGGTTCAAATAAACGCCACTGGTAGTCAGAGGGAAACAAACTCGGGTCACCAGGTTCATGGCTCAGCATACTAACCACTGCGCCATACGCACATACAGACAGCCACTGGCAAATTAATGGCAAAATAAAAATGCACGGAGATGAAGTAGGACACAAGATCTTGAGCCGATTTAAGCCCAGGTTCTAGACCTTAATTTTATTTCTCTGCTACCTATAGAATAACTAGACCTACGCCTTCCGTTATAGCTCCATGAGACACAGTCACATTTATTCATGACTAGCGTTACATCCCGGCTTCGCCTGAGACTTGGATTCTTGTCTTGGATTAATACACGGCCTACACGGAGGGTGGGGGGGATGCGTGACATCAGCAGGCACACTGCGTGATGCTGCCGCATGCGGGTGACATCACTAATGTGACATCACAGATGTGACGTCACCGCTCACTTACCGTGCAAAATATATCCATTATTGCGCCCCCCCCCCAAAAAAATAATACAAGTCTATTTTTATACTTTTGCATTGTGTACAGTCTGGAAACTACCCACATGCCAAATTTCAAGTTTGTTGCCTGTCGGGAAGTATGCTAACCATTTCGAACAGACACATTCACAAATTTGCCTTTCATAGATATAGATAAATCCACTGGATTATGGTGGTTCTGCAGGATTACTGAATTATCCAGCAGAGGGCTCACTCTGCTCACAGATCGTCTACTCAAAAATAGACGTGTTTCAGAAAGAGTCGTTCTCATGTAATGCTCATGGGTTGCTCATCCGACAAAGGAATCACATGCTGCCGATAGCACACACGGCTGGCTTTAATGGAAAGACAATTTTCTCATGTTGCCGCCGTTGAAACTAAATACGTGTCGTTCTTGACCACTAATCCATCAGGAAATAACATGAAATTATAACAAGCTCACAGTATGGGTAGCGCATCAGAGAAACAACATCACCTTCCGATTAAGTAAGGTTGTCTACGTATGGTGCAAAAAAAGTTCAACATGCATACATCCTGCGGAACAATTCAGGTGAGGGGCAGTGTCCATCTGCAGTGGAGACCCCGAGTCTGAGACAGTCGTAGAAACAACTACTGCTCCACGAGCTCAATGCCACCCATGGGGAAATGGTTCTACTTAGAGATACGTGGAATAGACTCGATGGCAGTTAAAGCAGAACAAATGGGTTGGGTGGTATGATGTGGTGGTTAGCACCATCACAACCCAAGGGATCAAAGTTCACTGGATTGAATCCAACCTCAGAAGCACCTACCCAATAATGAGAAGAAACACGATTAATCAATGGAACGTGCCAGCCGGTGATTCTCATGCTTGTAAGAGACTTTGGCGATGCTGCTTGCAGAATTGGTCACCTTGTGTCCGTGTCACGTCTTAGGAGAGAACTGGAAGACATCTCTGAACTGTCCCATCCAGCATGCTTCTGGGATATTTAAGACCCAATGCTCGAGTGGAATCGATGCTTTCTGGCTGCACACGGCCGCTTAAAATCTATAATCGGTGTTATCACGATGATGATATTCAGAGGCAATACTAAGAACAAAACAAAATGGAGGAGCAGTGGATTGCGCATTGAACTATGAAATGGGTGGGTTCGACTCTTCGCCAGGGCTATATGCAGTGGGTAGTGACATCTGATCCGATGTGGGACCACCCCCTCTATCAACGTGCACTCATCAGCATGGTGAAGTATGGTCAAATAACCACCATGACTCACACAGCGTGAGGAAGGCTTTCATCCAGCGCAGTGCACTCACAAAGGGACCTGCACTTGTTGTCGTTGTTTCACACAACTAACTAAATAAACAGACCTCTGTTCATCAGTGCTCATAAAACCAAAATACATTAAGTTCGTTGGACCTTTAGAGAAAAATGTATTTAAGCAGGTACACCAGTCTCAACCGTCTGAATCTCATCAACAGGATCAGGCCTATTGTAATTGCATGCTGCTGCAGTGTCTCATGTTATTGGCAAGAGCCATCCACTTACGCTATAGGACTGCTTTTGGATGGCATGTCCTCAATTAGTCTTCAGCATGGGAGTACATTTAATTAGTGTCTGGAGAAAACCCACGTAAGTGTGAATGGAACATTCATTAAAAGCTCCACGATGCAGATACATTTTGAAAAGCCTACTTACTATACGGCTTCCTCGTTGCTCTGTAGGTAGGTAGGTCAAAAACAAGAGAGCCCCAATCTCTGTGCGATTCATCAAATCTTCACTCCTGATCGCTGAAATATTGAACCAATCTCTTGACAGCATACGTGGCAAGCAATGGCATAACGATGGTGACCGTCTCGTGCAGACAACAGATCGCGAATATTAAAGCAAGGCAAAATTACCACGACTTCTCTACCACTCTAAACAGGCATCTGGCTACCTTTGTAATTACCACAAAAACTCTATACTAGTCTGTCGACAACCGTTGACCTGGTTTCGTAAGCAGGACGGGGGTCAGTCGTGTGTTTGCGGAGACCATAAAATCTTGATTCGACGCTATCGTTACTGCAGGAATCCATACTCTTTTGTTCTTTCCGTAAAGTCAAGTAGACAGAAAAAAAATAAGATCACAACGTTTCGATCGCAACACAAGCAATCGTCATCAAGTGAGACAAACACAGCAGAACTGTTGAGGCGGTTCTCCTGCGGAGGCAGTTCTCCTGCTGTGTTATGTCTCACCTGATGACGATTGCTTGTGTTGCGATCGAAACGTCGTGATCTATTTTTTGTTTCCATCTACGTGACTTTACCAAAAGACCATAAAATGTTCTACACAGGCGCACACGACGGGCCAAACGGGAGAGCGGGACACTCCACCACACTCCTGCCAGCCAGAACGTCAACAACTGTCCCCGCGACTTCACAGGGACAGTCCCAACCGAGATAAATGACAAAACCTCCGCAGGTGTCCACATGGCTCTGTAGGCTTCAAAATCAAAACGTCAGTTTCTTGACATGACACTGACTGCCCAAGTGGAAGGGAAAACATATTTGTATACATGCTGCTGGGGAAAATCTAAAGCTGTCATTTTGAGTGCTGAACTCAGTCAGGTACCAGTGATTGTTGTATTCCAATGGGCTGAAGTCAAAAAGTGGCACCTAACGAAGAGTTATCCTCTTGCCTTCTATACTGTACAGGCAACAGACCTTTAAATCTCACGGCCGTTTAAGCAAAAACAACACTGCCGTGCAACACACCTTGCAAACCAAAATCATCCGTGTCAATGTTAATCATTGTCATGTCCACGGAGGCTTGGCTCACACCTGCCGGTACATCCTTATTTGCATTTAATGTTTTTTTCTTACGTTAAACACAATCTATTTAAAACTTTGAATGAAGCCTCCCCCAATGGGAATAGTGCTTTGTTGCTAGGAACGGAGCGAAAAGCGCCGTTGCCAATGGTGAACGTGTGCGATGACGACAGTGGAACATTATGAGCATTAAGTCAAGCCTCACGGTGATTTGTTTCCGTACGGTTTTCAGAGATGCCAATTATTGGCCACTACGGGACAGCGTTGAAAACACGGGGGGGGGGCCTAAGGCCTGAATGTGAAAGGTGTCTACATTCAATCTCAGTGCTGAGCACTTTTCGTTGTTGGGAGCTGCCATCAGAAGGACTTTCCATGAAACGAATCTCCCTTCTCCAACGCGCATCCGCAAGTGACGCTAAGGACTTGTGCTACATTCTCACAACCATTAGAAAGCAGATCCGAGCCACGCTGGCCTAGTCCCAGGATCGCCCAGCGTGGCTCATTTCTTATATAACCACTTCAAGAGCCACAGTCCTGCGGCCTTGTTCCTTACCGCTGACCCCCCCCCCCCCCCCCCGTCTCTTCCCTCCATGGCCGGAGGAAAGCGATCGAAACAAAACAAAACGATTGTTTATCAAGCAAAATACGCTTGCGGCTAGGTTACGCTCTTATTATTTTTTTATGGCTTTCTTCGATGATTTTAAACAAAAAGCACGGCCATGATGTTGACCTCCTGACGGAGAACCTGCATTCTCTTCTGGGTCGCGGAAGGAAACACAATTGACAATTCGCACATCGAGGTGAAGAGAGGCGAGCAACACGAGTGCGTCGACCGACTGCCGGGTGCGTTTATGTTTGCAACTTCATAAGAGCACCGACCACACAGAAGCACTGGTGGCAGAGGGCGAAGGACGTCTGTGGAAAAAGAGCTTCATAGCTCATTGGATTTCTCCAGGATAAAGATTCTAAACACAGGAACAGTGAGCGAGAAGAGTAGAGGCAGACAAGGCAGCATCATCGATATTGTTATGAGCTTGTGATTGAATTATATCAAGAAGGTTTTGATATTGACCTGGACTGCTGCGCTTGTGGCTAAAACGTTGATATGAAGGGAGCTCCCAAGTAGTTGTGTCATATCTGATCCCACGTGGGCTCTTCCCTAGCACAGGGTGATGGCACTACTCTGCGAACGTTCTGAATAGATACGTTCTCTTGACATTAAGCCGAGAGCACAAAGTGCAATATCAATTTGCAAAAAGACAACAAAAACATCAATCACAATAATACAGGTAAGAACAATTAAGTTTCCCAATCTAGACTACGTAAGCTGTTGGGGCTGCTGCTGTTAGCAAGCACCTATGAAGGCCAACACGGGCACAAAGGGGTGGGGGTGTGGTGTGGCCAGCACCATGCCCAGCCACCTTTGAAGTTTACAAATTTAAATTGGGACTTAAACAGAGGCGGCCAGGTTAATAGTGGAGAGAGCTGTTTACATACCGCACCAGGTACTTGTACGAGTCAATTTTGGGGGGGGGGGGGGGAGACCCAGGACCGGTTCAAATATTCGTTATCGATGTTTGCCGAGAGCAGAAATTAAACTCTGGCCGTCCAGGTTCATAGCGGAGAGAGCTAACCTCTACACTTCCGCTCCCCACAAGCACACGCGCACGCACCGGGAGTGCACAGCACGTCGAAGATGAAGCTCGCCAGCATGAGGGGCAGCACCGGACGGTAGTCGCAGAACCCGCCGTCGCGGATCTGCTCGGCGCGCTCGCGAATCACGCTCATCTCCGTCACGCCCAGCGGGATCTTCTTGAGCAGCCCCATGATCTCCGACTCCTGGTAGGCCAGGCGAACCTGGGGCACGCGACGCAAAGCGCGTGTTGGTCAACAGAGCTGCCTCGTTTGAACACGTCGCATTTCGAACGTGATAAGTCCGCGGGTCGAGGGACCTCAGAGGTATCTCTGCGACATCCGCTTCTACGGGCATATTCACCACAGGCCCCTTGGACATTCACCACCGACAAACACTCGCCCGCTGCTCGCATCTCCCATCTACCTCTCTCACCCATCTTCCCCACTGAAGGGCTGAGTACCCGGCACATGAGGAACCACACATGACGAACGCCGCAATTAAGCGAGAAAGAGCCTCCCCACCGCCCTCACGCCTCTCCCTGCCAGCGGAACGCGCCACGCGGTCGTGACGGATGGCGCAATTAAACCACCCGCGCACGAGTGCTCGCGCACGGTACACCCAGAGGCGCGAGTGGCGATCAAAGAGTCCGCGGCCTGTCGTAGATAGCGGTGAGTGGCCTTGAAGAAACAGCCCCCCCCGTGAGGTGCAAATTATTTGCTCTGTTGACGTTCCAAGATTTGAATCCTCCTCGTTTTGGCTCCTCAATCCGCGTGATGACCACAGCAGGTGTCACTCTACTGTGACTATAAAAAACTCTCTCCCTGCGAGTAATAGGTTCAGAGTGGAAGGATGTGCAAGTCGATGGGAGCAAGGCAGAGCGAATACAGGATTTCTCCCCAGATTGTTCGGAATTGTTTAACAGATGTCTCTTGCAATTATTTTAGAAGTTGACACCAAAAATGGTTGATTTCTAACAAATGTAAAAGTACATGACAGCTATCATTAATTTGAATGAAAATTGGAATTGCTACAAAAATGTAATATTTTATTAACTTTAAACTGCATTATTTTCAATGTAAAATTACGGAACTTTTCATCGCACGCCGAAACGTCGTGAGAATTTTTATTTTATTAACATTTTTATTATTTTATTACTTCCCTTCTGCGAGACTTTACCGAAAGAACCAAGAATATGATTCCCTGCCGTCACGAAAGCTTTAAATCGAAACTTACCTATCCCTTAACACGCGCCACCACGCCATACCACCCAGCACCTCTACACACCTTCCTACCCTTCCGCACACGTCCCCTAGCTACCCCGTGTCTCGTCGACACCGCTGCCCGGTGCGCTCAGGTCCACATTTCTCGGAGCGCCCCCCCCCACTCCCCCCCATCCGCGAACCTCCAGGGCTTTGGTGGAAGCCGGAGGCCGCTGCAGCTCCAGGGCGAAGAGGCCGACGACGAAGGCGAGGCCGTGCAGCTCGGACCGCTCGCTCAGCACGGAGATGAGGAAGGCGGCCTTGGAGAGCGTGCTGGCCGCCAGCAGCGTCTGCCGGTGCGTCGACACCTTCGCCTTCTTGCCCTGCAAGCACGCGGCGGGAAGGCGGAGTGGCACCGGCCAGTGTCTGGCGTGACCGATCGTGGTCGGGGAGGATGTGTGTAATGTATGTGTGTTGAACTTCTTGGCACAGTAGAGGGTACAGCTGCGTGCATCTCAGTCAGTCAACCCATGGCACCTGGGTCCATCACGTAACCTCCCGTCAGCGAGCCTTCGACACTTCACGTGGCCTCGAGGTGCACCTGGCTTAGCACAGGCATCGTGGTGACGTCACTGTCACTTAGTGGCGAATGGCTTGGTTTAACTTATTTCTCACGTACGTAGTCAACCGCAATAATCGGAGGTACATGGGAAGGATGACAAACTAAACAAAAAAAACTGTCCGAAGGAAATACGTTTTCAATCAATTGAATCTGAATATTTATTTGTACCAAAGGAATCCGATGATAAAGCTCTTTTTCACAGATGTCCCGTAGGGGCAGGTCAGAACGTTACAACAAATAATACAAAAACACGATGAGTGCAAAATATAGGAAAGGTAAACAAATCACTTAGAAATTCCATAGCTCAAGTGGCTTCTTAATATCAGAATGAAGAGCGTTCCAGACAGCCGCAGAAGCGCATCTGAAAGCTCGCGATGCAGTGACCGTTGTTGTACGATGGCGAGCCAAAATCCACTGCGAGGACGACTGGAGTCATCTCAACATCAGCCTTAGTCGAGCTGAACGCAGTGCTGCATTCAGCGCGCTGGACTTGCGATCCAGAGATACGATTTCCCGGCCCGGCAGTTGAAACAAGGGGGCAAGTCTCTTAAATCCACCCCTCCGCCACTGTCCACCCAGCAGTATAAATGGGTACCACACCGCAGTAGATCGGCGGATTGTGTGGCGGGGTAAATCATGGGCATTGCTACCTCTTCAAAGACGTATGGCCAGCGTGGAATAAGAGGCCAAGTACCCTCTACCGAGGCAATCTAGAACACAATCTAGCAGATGCCCTTCATCCAGCAGTGGCATGAGCGAGCGTTTGCAAGGCTGCAACTTTACCTTTGTCTCGTTGAGGAAAGTTTATGCCAATATGTAGAAGGAATGCCGATGATCGAATCACTGTGAACGTGGCCCATCTCACCATATCTGGCAGGTTGGATCCTGCAGCATGCTTGGATGGATCACCAAAATGCACTGCTGGTTTTCATAAGCTTGTGGATGGGCACAGCTCCGCAAATTATTAATATTAATTTTAGAAACTTCCCAAAGCGTTTCTCTTTCCCAGAAAGAATCAGAATGTTTATACCCCACCACATTTTGGATTGCCCTCTCTGGCCTCCAGGCCAAGCCGGGGACAGGGCACTGTTTGGCATGAGGGATCTCACCTTGGTCTGCGGCTGCTCCACTTTGAGATCAGGAGGGCTGCCCAGGAGCTCGTTGGCGAGTTCGATGGCGAGCTGGCACGCCTCCGCCGCATAGCCGTGCGAGTACAGGGCCTCGGCACAGGCGAACAGCACCTGCGCACCACAGGATGGAGAGCATGTGCAGGTTTTTTTCTTCCATAACCCAGCCATCTTTGGCTTCGCACAAAAACGCATGCTGTGATCACATAACCAACTACAAGACGATGATAGTGATGATGACAACGGCGACGATGACAACGATGATAACAGGGATCTCAAGATCTCACCAATTGGAAGCCACCGATCTTACATCGCAGCCATTTTGCTCGCGCTGAAACTAACTAAGGATTATTCAAACGTGGGTCCCGCACCTCCATGAAGCTCTCCAGCTCCAGCGGCCGGACTCCTGCAAACACGTCTTCTTTCTCCTCCACCACACTCTCGGGCGGCTTCTCCTCCTCCTTGGCCGCATCCACCGATATGTAGAAGTACAGGTTGTAGTCGTCCTGATTTTCCGGGGGAACGGCCACCCCCTCCACACGCGCGCCAACAACGGGGGCGGCGGCGGACGGCCCCGCCTCCGGTGTCGCCACCACGGCCGCGCCGCTCTGCAGCCCAGCAGCGTCCCCTTTCACCGTCCCGTCCGCCTGCTTCGGCTCAGCAGCTTTCACGTCACCCGCGCCGTCGCCCACCACCGTCTCCTTGCCGTCTACCGACGCCGCCGCTTCGCCACCGCTATCGCTGGACTCGGAGCTGGATTTCAGGAGCTTGCCCGCCGCATCCGTGCTCCGCTTGACCACAGCCCCCGCCGACGCGGATGCTGCTGCTGCTACTGACGTCGCCGCCACCGCCGCCTTCCCGTCGGAGCCTTTGTCGGACGGGTCTTTGGGGCGGCCCTTTTTGAAGGCGTCAGAGGTAGACTCGCCGCCAAAAATCTCGCCATCTGAGGCGAAGGTGTTGCAGGCCTCGGCGCCGAGCGCCAGTCCGCTCTCGTCCGGTCGCAGCTCCACCATGTCCGGCTCGAGGCAGCTGTCCCCGTCCTCCTCGCTGCTCACCGCGCGCTTCGACGCCGCCTTTCCGGCCGCGATGCCGCACGCCGACTTCGCCGAGCCGTGCTTCCCACGGCCACAAGCCATGCCGCCCGATGCCGCCGCTACCGGCGTCGCCGTCAAAGCCGCCGCTGCCGACGAGGCTTTCTCTGCGGCATCCGCGCCAGATTTCAACTGGCCGGGCCTCGAGCCGTCTCCTGGTGAAACCAAGGCGCTGCCACCGCCGCCACCGCCACCCCCTTTCCGCTTAGACACGTCTTTTGGGCGGACGGAGGAGTCCGTCGAAGGCGGGCTCTTCAGCACCGCCTTTGCCAGCTGTGCGGCAATGGCACCGTCCCTCACCGCCGGCATTTTTGGCAGCAGCGCCATCCCGCCATCGAGCAAACCCTTGCCGTTGGCCGAGGCCGCCACCCCAAAATGCTGCCGTGGCTGCAAGTGCTTGGGGCAGCCCGTGACGGTCAGCTTCCCAGTGCAGGCTCCGACAGATGATTTGGAGAAGCCAAGCGAACCTGGCGGTTTGGGGCAGCAGTTGGGCGAGGCCGACTTGGGCCGTCCGGGGACCGTGGTGGTGGCTGGCGCCGGCGACGGTCTGCACGGAGGCTTCTTGTCGTGCGGAGCGGCGCCACCGCACGCTCCGTTCACGCCGCCCGGACCGCCGGAGTAAGGTGATTCCAGGAATGGGGCACACTTGCTCCCAGTTGAGGTAGCAGGCCTCTAGCGCCGGCTTGAAACCCAAGAAGAGGTGCTCCTGGCTCTTGCGGGACTGGCCCCTCTTGGCCACCTCTAGCACGCGCAGGTGCCACTCGCGGAGTCGCTCTGAAAGCTCCAGGCGTCTGCGCAACGATGGAGAAACGGCGCCCGTTAATGCAGGCACTGCATAAGGGTACCGTCAGCCAAGCACCACAGTGCTGTCTCCGCAAGCAACCGCTCGCAAGTCCACTGGCCTTAACAAACCAAGCAATTATTGAGCAATTGTAATTGATCTTTTTACAAATAGGGGCCAGTATAATGAATCAACTGTGCCGTAATCCATCACAATTAAGATTGTCTTCCACAATCAACTGATCAAAATTAGACTGGCATCCACAAATCAACCCAACACAAATCAGGATTCTACAGAATTAATCAATAACAATGATTCTCTCCTCGACAATTACAACCATGCCAGCCACCACAACCAAACAATCATTAGTGGAATGTCCTTCATATTAACCAACAGCGAATCCTCGAGCAAAACCCATTCCCATAACCTCAATACTTACCCCACCAATAAACCTAACCCCATCAATGACCCTATCAACCCCAGGCATTTCATGACCAAATTCCAAGCCTGGCTATGTTCAGCTGTTATTGCAGAGATATAGACTGGTTGAAATTTGTCTGAAAGTTACCACCAAGAAGATATGCATCAAAATTAATGTCATGCCCAAGAGTAAAGTAACATTAGCATATCATTGTCATACCTAATGCAATGCAAATCCCTTTGTTAATCGACGACGGGATGATGGCCTCTCCATGGTTGCTTGACCACACTTCACCACACTGCTCAGTGTGGGTTGGTGCAAGGACGGCCCAGCACCGGTCCGGATATCGCCCACCACGGATGTGAACCGTGGCCAGGAATCGAACTCGGCTCGCCGGCTTCATTGCACAACAAAGTGCACCGTTACGCCGCCCCTTCACCCCGTCTACTTCGCGGGAAAAAAACTATTCAACTAATTTTCAACTCAACAATTTTGTATTCTACCAGGTGAGCTATGTAGCTCTTTTTCAGAAGCGACCTGGCCACAAATGATCGCTCAACGAGGTGGCTTATCGTGTAGAAATTTATAGCAGCCACATACTCGAGCGCACGTTTTTAAATTTGGAGGGAAAAACCGGAGGACTCGGAAAAAAATCCACGCGACCAGTGGTAGAACATGCCAAATCCAAATATACAGGCATCAGGGTCGGGATCGAACCTACGACCTCCTGTATACGAGGCAAGGTAGTTAACATCTCGCCACCGTGGAAAAATGCACTGTGCATCTAACCCAGCCAAGGGCATTGCACATTTAGCTAACAGGTGTATGTATTTTGACCTCCTCTTCCAAGCTGGCCAAACATCATCTCGCCACCGCGGCGAGATGTTAACGAACATATTCTCGCGGCCGTGAGAATCGATTGCGAGCCGAAAGGTTCGTCACCTGTGGGGGCTGACGGCGGGGTCGAGCACAGCGAGCCGCCACAGCGCCGCCGTCTCGTCGCACATGCTGGCGCAAGCGTGCGCCGCCACCTCCGACTGCCCGCTGCTGTTGCCGTGCCGGCCCGTGTGCCCGCTCGCGCTGTTGTGCGACGCCGACGTGCGCACGTTGTACCACCACGCCGCGATCTGCAAAAGCGCGCGCCGACGCCAATCACAGAGCGTCATCGTCCACCCCCAAAGTCAAGGATCCCCCATATAGCCTCAACAGACTGTTGGGGCAAGTGCTGTTCGCAATCACCTTGAAGGCCGGCACAGCACACGAGGGGGTGGGTGGTCAGCACCACGTCCGGCCGGCCTAGTGGCGATGTTTACCCAGTCTCCCGAGTGGCGATGTTTACCCACCATACCAGGTACTCATTTGAGGGAGAGTCGACTTAGGCGAAGCTCAAAACCTGTTCAAATAATCGTTACTAGTCTTGGCCGTGAGTGGGAATCGAACTCGGGTCGCCGGGTTTGTAGCGCAGCACGCTCTCTCATCCGGCTTCACAACCGACAAGACAGGTACCCACAAAGCGATTCGATCCTTTACAGAGTAGGGGTCTCCCAATCGCATACAGCAGTGACAAAATGCCATTTACCACCGTGAGAATGGCTATTATACTGAATGAACGACCATTATAGCGGATGAACTGCATATACATTTATATATCGGACAAATGGTCGTTAAAGCAAATGATCGACTAATATACAGAAAATATAGCCATCGCACTCAGGGAACTGCCGATACCGGCATAACCGCACGTGCTGCTTGCGTCACAGTCCATGGCATGTACATGCGCGCGTGTACATGCACGAGTGTACGTGTACATGCACGAGTGTACGTGTGCGCGTGAGAGTGTGCGCGTGAGCGGGGCACCTGCTCGCAAGCGAGGCACAGCTCGGTGAGAATCTCCAGCAGCGGCACGGCGTTGCTGTCGCGCCGCCGCAGCATCTCGCGCACGATCGACAGCAGGTTCCAGATGGCCTCGGGCTCGCGTCCACGCAGGGGCCGCAGCAGGCAGGCCCACTCGGCAGCCGCGGGGGGCTCGGTGGACGACAGGTACAGCGAGTTCACGTCGCTGGGAAGAGGAAGGAGTGGCGGGCGGGGTTGGGACGTGCGAAAGATGACTAGGTTACAAGTGGTGCAGCCCTGCACTTGGTTTCTCACGCCCCTGTTGGTGTAAGGACCTCTGCTAACGGAAACGTTAGCAGACATCTCCTCTATTGGAATTTTTAACCTTTTCTTCCATGCTGGCCAAACATCTATAAACTAAACTATAAACTATTTTCATTTTACCAGGTAAGGCCCACTTGAGCTGCATAGCTCTTTTTCAGAAGCGACCTGGCCACAAATGATAGCTCAACGAAGTGGCTTATCATCACGCGGAAATTAATAGCAGCCAAATTAATATAAAACGCATGTTTCTAAATGTAGAGGGAAAAACCAAACCCACAACCTCCTGTATACCAGGCGAGATGGTTAGATTCTCACCACTGTGGCACCCTATCTTGGAAGAGGTGGGGACACACACAATTTACCCCACCGCACGTGACCTGCCAATCACCTGGCTGGTGTTCCCATTTACTCTGCTGTGTGGACAGAGGTGGGAGGCGGGGGGGGGGGGCGATTAAAGACATTTGCACCGTTGTTTCAACTGCCGCACCTGGAGAATGAAGCGACAAACTCTGGATTGCAAGCCCAGCATGCTGACCATCATGGCACGGAAGCATGCCTAAGTTACACTGCTACGTGAAATTTAGCGAAGCGGGTGCGTACACACCGTACGTCCAACAGCAGCTGCAGCTCGCCACTTTGCGCTCGGCTCATTGTTGCGAGCGTCATAATTTTCCCCTTTTTCTGATTGAATCCAGTTGCTATCAGCAACCCACTCACATCTTTCACAAGCCTCCTACACACTCTCTGCTTTTTTGTTTATGGTCTCGTCCTTTCCCCGCACCTCCGATTAGCGTGGTTGGCTACGTACAGCGTGAAAGAAGTTCAAAATACATACACATGCCAATCCTGACCCTGTTCATAGCAGCCGTTGGCAAGTCCACTAAGCTCCACATCCACCCATTTATATTCGAGTTGGGCTGTACCTGTTTAACTTCCACTGTCTGACCAAACAGGAACAAAGACAGACAAAAACATACATCCCCCGTACAGCACACACAGACTGTAGGAACAAGTGATATTAGATAGCACCTATTAAGGCTGGCACAGCCGGGAAGCGAGGTGGTGTGGTCAGAAGCACACGTGGCCGCATTTGTCACCGATGTTGGCTGCAAGTGGGAATTAGAATGTTTATTTATACTGGAGGAATACGATGAGCTATAAAGCTCTTTTTCACAGATGTCCAGTAGGGGCACGGGGTAAGAACGTTTCAACAACAAACACAATACGCAAACACAACAGTAAAGCAAAGAACAAGAAATGTAAATCAGGTCACACATGCGCACACACATGCACACGCGCACACCTAAACACGATGGGAGAGGGCCCGCAGAACTTGTGCAGCGTCTTCTTGATGTTATCGCTGAGCGTGGCCTCATCCAGGTACCAGGTGCTCTGGTCCGAGGCGGAGGGCCCTGCCGTAGGATCTGTCACGTGACATCGCAGCATCGTGGGGGCGGGGGCAACCAAAGGAGATCAGATGTCTGGTCGGTCAAGATGTCACCACAGTCACTCCCGGCGCGTTCACCAACCCACAATGTCCAACGGTGGTGAAATATGGTGAAATAACCCCTCATGAACAGCATGGGGGGGGAGGCCCACAATAGATGTACAAGGCCGATGCATATTCTTGGTTCTTTCGGTAAAGTTACGTAGAAGGGAAATAATAAAATAATAAAAATAAAACCCACAGCAAGACTTCACACCTGATGATGATTGCTTATGTTGCAGTCGAAACGTCGTGAGAATTTTTATTGTTTGATATTTTTATTATTTTATTATTTCCCTTCTACGTGACTTTACCGAAAGAACCAAGAATAAGAATACCTGCAGTCACGAAAGCATTACATCAAAATTTAAAAGGCCTATGTATGTTTACATGTACGTTATTGTACCAGAATTCATGAAGCCTGTCTTCGCCAGGCAAATGTTTTCAATAAATACAATAAACCTGATATTATTTCTTACAATTTTTTATCTACGATCAGACACTAACAACTAATCCAAATTTTTGTATTTTTCTGCAGAAAAAATGTGTTGATGACTCGATTAATCTTCTTATACTTAAAAACATATGCATTTAAAAAATCCGTTGTTTATTGATTAGAAACAACGAAAAT